TCCTTTAGCAAGCCAAACAATAAGCCTGTCTCACAGCTTGTGTACTGGACTATAGCTCCTATTGTTCCAAATCAACAATCCAGGCCCAAGACCAGCAGGTGAGGATAGGAGCTGCAGTTTAACAGATCCAGAACAGACCAGTTCTGTCAGAGAGGATGAAAATGAACTTTAGATGTCATAGTATCTAGCAGCCGCTAGATGCCAAATTTAAACCTCCACAATACTTTGCCTGTCTGGGTTAGATGAAATTAAAACACAATGGTGAAGTAATTGAATTGATTTTTAGTGCAGAAAAGCTGTAACAACTTTGAATACTGTATTATTCTACAGGTTCAGCAAGTGCGCTACACTCATGTATCTTGTCTTGCATTTCAAATATAGTCATAATTCCCTGTCAGGAAGATTGGGGGGGGGGGAAGGAGGTTGTTTTATAGTACTTTTTCCTCTGCTGAAGACAGTGGTTATGGTGGGCTTCAGCCAACGTCCCAGCTTGCTTTTTGTGGTTATGCCTTTTCACTTCTGCTTGCATTGCTTGTTTCCATTTCTGTTCCTCATTTTACAAAAAGGAAAAAAGAAAAAAGAAAGCTAGTGCACATTGCTTTTTTTTCTTTTCCTAGATCTTACTACCTTTTAAAATGTAACATATATGTTTTCCCTAAGATTCATTGTACTGTAATTCCATTTAAAGGTTAGTAGCACTTTGTATTATTTCTACAGGAACTGTAGGAGTGAAATGTTATTGGTTTCTTGCTTTCTGTAGCATGTGACAACTGCAGTTCTTTGGGTGACCCTCACAGCAATGAAGTAGAAGGATATAGACCTTGTAGTATCTAAACAAGTACTATTTGATTGTCCAAAATTTGTGACTAGTTGGTTGCTCATTTTTAGATCTCTGAAACTGTTCAAAGTGTTAACACTGGATTCCTGTGGAGTAATAGTTTCATGATACTTTATTGGCATGATAAATAAAAACGTTTGTACCTTTAACATAGAGGAAAAACAGACTCAAGGCTAAAAACCACTGGATTAGGTGCCACTACACTCTTCTGCCCAGAACAGAAGGATCATGGTGCTTTCTTCCCTTACTTGTAAAAAGTTGGAATAGGCAGCTCTTCCATATCAAAGATGGTCTAGATGTATAACCTAGGGGAAAGACAACAATGCTGTTCAATCTTACCTGGGATGAGTACCGGGATTCTCTCCTCCTTTTTTTTCTTTTAAGCAGCAGGAGAGAAAGCCAACTGGCTGACTCCTGCAGTGGAGAGAGTCCTGTAATGTCTTTAAGATGGAAAAAGCCCTAGGTTGCTAGAGGAGGCTCTTGTCTCAACTTCAGGAGTTTTATAGCTTGTGCAATCAGTTTTGTCAGTTCTGAAAATCATCTTAAACGCTGGAAGCAGAGAATGCAGTTGATTAATTTAGGGGGAAAATAGAGGCATTTGATACTGTCCAGCTGTTCTTCAGGTTTGTGTGTATGTGGGGGGAAGGATTCTTATGACTGGGGGAAAGAGAGAACAAGAGGGTGTGGTCATAGCTTGGTGATAGAGTACCTGCTTTGTCTACAGGAGGTCCAATATTAAAAATACGGTACTACTTAGGCACTAGAAGGGTGGCATATAATTGTAACAAATAAATGAATGTGACGGATAGGTCAGTAACCACTCCTGTCCATCACAATGGAACCCTGATTTATCAACCAATGGTTGAACAGAAGGGGTGGAATCAAGGAAATATAAGAGCAATGGAAGATAGTTAAAGATCAGTTAGAAGTTAGAGTTAGAAGTTAGAGTTAGGGATGTCAGTTAGAGAGAAGCACTTTAGGCAGTTAGGACCAGCCTTGTGTTAGAGAAGGATAATAGAGAGATAAGACAAGGAAAGTACAAATCTTGTATGGTTTATGGTTATGATTGGAAAGAGTTAGAAGTGAAAAGAAATGAATAAATACCTTGATTAAAATGATTGTATCTAAGCAAATATTAATGTTACCAAAGCACAATTTATTGAATGAATAAAATAAGAGCATCCAAGATTCACTTTATATGATTTACTTCTAAACACATGAATAAACATTGTTATATTGGATAACTGTGGTTTAAGAGTCATTTTGATAGAGTGAGGAATAAATCCTCTGGTGGCAGTGAAAAAGATTGAAAAGTAAATGTCATATCCGAAAGTGAACCTGGGTTGTGTGGAAGAACAAACAGGGGAACTGGGTGTGTGTGACAATGAATGAATAAAAATAAGCAAACAAACTAATGGCAGGAGATCAAGTGAGTTTTTACCTGAACACATGGAAGGCCACTGCCAGATTGAACAGAGAAGTCTGGGCTATATGGGCAAATAAGGACCTATTATATGAAGAACCCCTGCATTTCTCTTCAAAAGCAAAGTGTGTGGGAGAAGAGTATACAGTTGACATTCAGAGGAGGAAGTTACAATCTGGCATATACGGTATTTGTATCATGTGAAACACAAGAGTGCTGGTCCCATTGAGTTCAGTGGAGTCCACCTGCAGGAAAATGGATGTAGACTTGCAGTGTTCATCATGCTGTAGATATAACTGTGGGCAGTTCCTTTTTGTCAGCCAAATTTCTCAATGCATTCCAAGGGAGAAAGGTGCTTTTAAACATTTGAATTAAGCTAGCTGGTCTTAGGAAGAGTGTAAGTCCCAGTAACATCTACCCTGTCAGAGACCCCTCTGAATATATGGTATATATCAGTCATTCCCTACTGAATATTTGCTTGTTTTTCTCCCACCTTTCTCCTTAAAAAGAAACCAAGGCAGCTATAATAAAAATAAGACTGTGGTGATATTTAATCTATTTATGTAAAGCTACCTATACTTTATAAAGAATGGGAGAACAAATCTTCATTTCTTAAGGCTTATAGTCTAAAAATACTGTAGAAATAAGTGAAAGGGAAGTGGATACGGGGGAGGCTTGAAAAGACAATGTGATTTTTACAGATATTTAGGTCCTCACTAGACAAGCCACTATTTCATATCTGGAAGTAGTGCATCCTTAAGAGGAAAGGGCTACTGACTATGCAAAAGCCTTTAACTGTGTGGACCACAGCAAACTATGGCAAGCCCTTAAAGAAATGGGAGTGCCTGATCACCTTATCTATCTCCCGAGAAACCTATAAATGGGACAGGAAGCAACAATTAGAACTGGATATGGAGCAACTGGGAAAGGAGTACAACAAGGCTGTATATTGTCTCCCTGCTTATTTAACTTATATGCAGAATAAATCATGCAAAAGGCCGGACTGGAGGAATCCCAAACCGGAATTCCAAGATTGCTGGAAGAAATATCAACAACCTCCGATATGCAGATGATACCACTCTGGTGGCAGAAAGTGAGGAGGAATTAAAGAACCTTGTAATGAGGGTGAAAGAGGAGAGTGCAAAAACAGTTTGAAGGTCAACATAAAAAACCCCCCGAAGATCACGGCCACTGGTCCCATCACCTCCTAGCAAATAGAAGGGGAAGATATGGAGACAGTGACAGATTTTACTTTCCTGGGTTCCATGACTACTGCAGATGGAGAGAGCAGCCCCGAAATTAAAAGACACCTGCTTCTTGGGAGGAAAGCAATGACAAACCTCAACAGCATCTTAAAAAGCCAACAAAAGTACGCATACTCAAAGCTATGGTTTTTCCTGTAATGATGTATGGAAGTGAGAGGTGGACCATAAAGAAAGCTGACTGCCAAAGAATTGATGCTTTTGAACTGTGGTGCTGGAGGAGGCTCTTGAGAGTCCCCTGGACTGCAAGGAGAACAAACCTATCCATTCTAAAGAAAATCAACCCTGAGTGCTCACTGGAAGGACAGATCCTGAAGCTGAGACTCCAATACTTTGGCCATCTCATGAGAAGAGAAGACTCCTTGGAAAAGCCCCTGATATTGGGAAAATGTGAAGGAAAGAGGACAAGGGGACGACAGAGGATGAGATGGTTGGATAGTGTTGCCGAAGCAACCAACGTGAATTTGACCCAACTTCGGGAGGCAGTGGAAGACAGGAGGGCCTTGCGTGCTCTGGTCCATGGGGTCACGAAGAGTCGGACATGACTAAATGACTAAACAAGAAGAACAAAGAGGAAAGGGTGCCTATTTATTCTATCATGAGCCTGCTTTAGTCTGCAATTTGGCAAATAAGCTTGCTTTTGTTTCACAGGCGGCCAATGGGGAGATAGCACAGCTTTGATTGTATTTAGGTTTTAGTCAGATTTTAGTTTCTGGTTTAATTTTTCTTTGTGCTGTCAATGTTGGTTTTGTGATATTCTGTTTGCTGTGTTAATTGTCCTTTCTATAGTCAACTGTCTAGAGTAGTGCTTGCTGCTAAGTTGGGCGGTATGTAAATAAACAAACAAACAACAAATAAATAAATGTCTGATGTCTTTAAATGTCTGATGTCTTAGGTATGTGGCACTGAGAAATTTGCTCACCTAGAAGAAAAATGTTGTAAGAGGAGGAAATCTTCATTTACTTTAATTTACCCATTTAATTTAATTTAATTCATTTACTTCATTCACCCATACTAGAGGTCTAACTACACTGGACAGTCAGTTTGCAGTTAGAAGCTGGCAGTATGGTCATCCTTCAGTGACAGGATTCTTTACACTTTCATGCCAAAGCAAATAGAATTGTAAATGAAGCCCTTGTTTACATGTCAACGACAAAGTGCAAGACAAAGCAACCTAGTTTGCAAAATGCAGAGGTGAGGAAAAACTTCTGCTAGGAAAAACAGATGTCTTTTCCCAAATAAGGAGCCTTAATTGTAAATGCCGAGCTGACCCTCTTTTGTAACTGGCTGAAGTTGCACTAGAATATGGATCCAAATGATACTGTCACCATCTTAAAAGAAAATATGAAAAAGGATTACTCTTTAGAGACTGTGCTTGCTGAGTTTTTCATTACTATTGTCCAGTCATAAATGTCATATTTCTTTGAGAATTATCCCCAGCAATGTTTGATACCAGTGCTTTGTATGGTGCTTTCAGGCATCTGAGGGTGTTCCAGTACAGTATTTCAACAACTTGGAAGAACTGATAGAGTTTTACAAGAAAGAAAATATGGGGCTAGTCCGGAGTCTTAAATTCCCGGTCCAGCAGGAAGATGACGAGATGACAGATGAACTGGAGGAGGATATGGGTAAGACATGCAAAATACAGAAGTACCATTCTTACCTCATGAGGCCTGATTCATGTGGTTGCTAGTTTGCTAGGAAAAATAGTGCAAATTTGTTTGGACCTGATCTTTATGTGATCTGACCTGCCTAGCTGAAGAAGGAGCTGGAGGTATTTGATCTTTAACTCTTTTAATGTATTTAGAAAGACTTCCTTTTAGAGGCAGACCTGCACAGTATATGTTCCATCAAGCCAAATTCAGGACATTACCATATAGGGTGACTCCAATTACTTGTTTGAGCTCCTATCAGGGGCATCTACTTTTTTGGTGCACGTAAGTGTACTCTCGTTTGGTCCTTTTCCAGTGCATGTGATCAGTCAAAGCTGACAAGGATCCTTTTGCTGACAATTTCCAGCATCATGAAGTGGCTCAATAAGTGAGCCACTTCAGGATATTGGCAAATTGAACACTTCCTCAGCTCCTCTGTAGAGGAGTAGGGCAAATCATATTATTATTTATTGCATTTGCTAGGTTATCACTGATGCACTGAATCACTTAGATTAAATTATATATATTTCCACAAAGAAATATATATATTTCTTTGCCTTTGTGTAAAGTGCAAATCGAAACTGTGGCTACAGGCAGTTACTCTTTAAGGTGCCACAACACCTCTGTCTCTTTAGAAGGTTGTTTTGTTTTTGGTCTTATACACATATATCAGAAAGTATAGCATTATGTCGAAGAACAGAGAACTGCAGACCATGAAAACAGCAAAAGAGCTGCTGGATCTTCAAAACTTTTCCCCATTTATGACAGATCCTGTGCCCCCAGTGGTACCTCCCCGATTTTCAGTGCCATCTCAGGCAACTGAGACAACAGAAAGTTCCTCAAAAGAAGAAGTCCATATGACAGAAGTGAGCAAACCATCCCTTTCTGAGGCATTGCTTCAGCAGTTGCAGCTGCAAGATACCAGCAGGTGAGACCTGAATTTATCTGAGGAAGTAGAAACAGTAACTCAGAAATATAGAGGCCCATTTTACTACAGTATACTGTTTATCATAGCAATCTTGAATAAGGAAAAAATTGTAAAAAGTGTCTTAAAACAATGGTTGCTGACTTCAGTGTCCATAATCTTCTGCCAGGGATTCTGGGAGCTAAAGTCTAGGGATATGACAAGTACTCACAAAATTCCTGCTTCTCATTGATTTTGACTGTATTAACACTACAGGACACCTGGGAAGAATTTTGTGACCTTGCAAGAGTTCTTTCCCCCTGCTAACAGCAAGACAAAAGCTTTAAGCATGTACATCAAGCAGAGAAAGACTGTTTGGTTGTTAAGAAAGATACAAACAATCCATCCAAGGCTTAAAATTGGTGAAGGGGTATGAAGCAAAGCAGGTGTCATCCCATTTCTCTTGCTTGGTTGCTGTATTTCAATTTCTATTTTATTTTGTACATAAAGGAAGAAAGCCAAAGGGAGGGGGGAATACAAATATAACAACAGTCCAAAAATGCAATGAAATATTGAGCAGTCTGTGCAGGCAGCAAGGAGAATAGTATGATTCCTCAGCCTTGCCTGTGAGTGTGAGACAACAGAAGCAACCTGCCTTGATTTTGGGTTGCGGATCACTATTGCAGTCCAAAACATCAGGAAGACCAAAAATTGAGACCCACTGTCTTAGAAGGCAGACTTTTGCTAAGCATTTTCTATTCCTATGACAGTGCTACAGAAGTTTCACCTGATGAAATTCTGTTTGCTATGCATATTTATCTTATACAGGAGCCTGGTACTCCTAGTTACTGTATTTTAGACTTCTATATAAGTACATCTGTCCTACCTGATAAGAGGGCGGGGCACAAGATTATTTTATAGATAGGAAATAAATATGCTGGCTGAATGTTCTCTCAGGAAAAGGTTAGAAGGGTTGGTTTTGTGTGGGTTACAGACAGGAAGGAGGCTTTCCTTTCCACTGTATAGAGTTACTCATACATATAGAGATGAAAAGGAACATGATGAAAGAGCACTCCTGTAGCTTCATGGCTCAGAGTGTGATTAGACAATGAGAAACAATCACATCTGATTGCACTGGAAAGGGTGAGTTTGCTGGGAGTGATCTCCTTTAAAGACACCCCTCCGTCTGTGGAGGAATTGCCTAGCCCTGCCTAAAAAGAGAGTAGCCCTGCTGCTGGATCAAAAATGTCCAGCTTGTGTATGGCTCAGGGTCAGGCTAGTTTGCAATTTCACATATGTCATGTGATCCCCAAGAAATAGCTCACACCAGACCGTGCCACAAGCAACCCAAAATAAGAGCTGTTCCCCTGTCTTATTGCACCCTAAGATTGCAGTCCTGTTTGTACAAACTTGGTAAATCCCATTAAATTCATTAAAATTTATTTCTGAGTATAGGATCAGACCACGCAAGAGCCTGAGCTACAGATTGCGAAGTCCCTGCTGTGGCACTTGTTTCCACTTGAAACTTACTAGTTTATGGGCCACTCTAGTTTTATTCTCACACTTCTACGATACTGGCTTGTAGCATACAGAATGTAAGATTCTGAAGTACTTTCTAAAAAAGTGCTTCAAAATATTTTTGACAACCCTGTGTACATTTCTTTCTCTTTTTTTCCGTAGTGAATGGCTGTTTGAGAGGGGTTTTTCAGATTGGGTTGTTGTGTTGTGTTGCTTTTTAATGTGTTTTAATTTTTTTTTAATTTACTGTTTTCAGTATAATACTTGTTTAATTCTTTTTAAATATTTCTATACTAATTGTTTATAGCTTCTAAATATTGTCCTTTTAATGATGTAAGCTGCCTTGGGTCCTTTTAAGAAGAAAGACTGGGTAAAAATATTCAAAATATAAATATATAATATAATATAATATTAATATAATATAATATGCATTCACCAATATCCTGTTGTCTAGCTCTGCTGTTGTAGTTGGGATGATGTCACCAGCAGTGACTGATTGCTGCTAATTTAAGAGACCTGCTTTATTTTGGTTTGCGGATGACTCACTCACAATGATGAAAGTGCACGCAACCCCATACTGAAGCGGACACTCTTCAGTTAATGGCAATCTGCCAGAGATGTCATTCCTGCTACGCTGGCAGAGCTACATTGCAGGGGTTTGGTCATCAGAGCCTTTTTCAGACATTTGAGATATGGGTAATTCACACACATGTGGAGAGGGAACAAGCCAAGCCCACCCTCTCTGCTGAAGCTTTCTCCACAGACAGACTGATAGACTTAAAAGGAGATCTGCCACTCCACACAATCCAGGAGAGCTGAAATATTAGTACTGTATTTTATCATGCACAAAGGATGTTTGCTTGTCTGTTTGTTTAAAATATTTTACCCTACCTTTCTCCTTAAAAAGGACCCAAGGTGGCTTACATCATTAAAATACAATACTTAAAGCTAAGAATAGTAAGTATATAAATACTAAAAAGCATAAAACAAATGCCACACTAAAAAATGGTAAACAAAAGCAACACTATAAACACATTCAAACCAGTAAGACACAACAATCCATTAAAAAAAAACCTCTCAGGCACCCAGTCACTGATGGAAAGGCAGACTGAAAAGTTTTTGTTGCTTGCAGAAAAACAGCAAAGATGTGCACCTGTGCACAACCCCATCAAGCACAGGCAGCATCCCTGTTCCTTGATCTGCCTTTTGACTGACCGAGAGAACCTCTGTCTTGTCTGTATTAAGTTTCAGTTCATTTACCCTCATCCGGTCCATGACTGATACCATGTGCAGGTAAAGAATGCTGCTGTCTTCAAACTACTGCTCTCTGTGTGAAGAGAGCAATGGTAGAGAGTGTAGGGCTCTTTTCTTTTCCTGACACATTCAGATTAACTTTATTTGAAATACTTGAAGAAGGTTTATATAATGAGAGCATGCCATTTATTATTCCAAAATAACATGCCACATATTACCAAGGTGAGGTAGATAAGCATATTCTCTTTCCCCCAGATATTCCCCCCCCCGAAAAAGCTTTAAAGGATGGGGGACAGTGTAGGGAACACGTTCCTACCTTTCTCTCTTTATCTGCATTTGCTAGAAAGCATTTCGGACATTATATATATATAATATTGTACCAGCTCCCCCTGAGCATAACCTGTTGTCCCCATTTGTTACCATCACCATAGCTTTACTGGTCTAGCATCTGGTCTTCTGAGCTATTGTTTTCTTCCACAGTATTCCAGAAGAGCACCTCAAACTCATCCAGGATTATTTGCGAGTTCATATCACCAGTGATCTTGAATCAGTACAGCAAGGATCCTGGAATCTTCCTCAGCTAAAGAAACTACTTGCAGCACTCTGCAAGGGTCTCTTCAGGTAAAAATACAACACAATTCAGCAATATTATGGGGTTTGTTGATACCCAGCATGCTGTAGGGGATAGTGTAGCAGACTAGGACTCAGAAGACCTGGATTTGAATCCCCATTTGGCCCCCTCCCCCTCAGTCAAGGAGAGGGTGGAACGAGTAAAAAAAAATCTCAAATGAAAAGCCCCATTAGAATTGCTGTAAGTCAGTTCCAGCCTGACAGCACTTGGGGTTTCAGGATAACACACACTTGAGGTTTATATGAGAGTTCTGTAGAAGTAGCAGACTAGGACTGAGAAGACCTGGATTTGAATCCCCACTTGGCCCCCTCCCCCTCAGTCAAGGAGAGGGTGGAACGAGTAAAAAAAAATCTCAAATGAAAAGCCCCATTAGAATTGCTGTAAGTCAGTTCCAGCCTGACAGCACTTGGGGTTTCAGGATAACACACACTTGAGGTTTATATGAGAGTTCTGTAGAAGGCCTTGGCTGTAGTTGATCCAAGTAGAGTTGTCAGCACTATTCTTTTTGGTAAGAGATTATTCTGCTATTTTTGTAAAGAGGATAGCACTCTGTTTTAATTCAAGAGCTGCCTGGCTAATAACAGAGAGATGTGTCTTTCCCCTTTTGCAGCCCAGTTTCTGGAAATTTACACCAGTCTCATTTCCCAGTTCTGGCACATTTTATCCCCGCATGACATTCTGTATATGTAGGAGATCAGCATTTCTATAATTCCTTGCTTGTTCAACAGCCTAACCTGTGTATATATTAAAGGCTGGCCTCTGTAGTCCATGATGCAGGGGGGGAAATAAACCAGAATGGCATAATTTTAAGCCTACTCCTTTCAATGTCTGGATAGTTCTATGGTTTAGATATCTGGCTATGGAGCCAGAGCTTGGAAGTTTGATTCCCCCTGTATCTCCTTGACAGGGGCTGGACTCGATGATCCATGCTGGCAACATAGCCTTTATTCTTCCTGTCTTGCCATTTTCACTGAAGTGTCTTCTGCTTTGTAACTTCCAGTGAGGTGTCCCGGACGCTTCCTTCTCTAGAGTCCATTCAAATTGTGTTTGACCAGCAGGTGCTGGGCCATCGACCTTCTCAGGTATGACTTGCTACAGTAGGCAAGGTAGGAACAAATCAGAATTTCAGTGTTATGCCCAGTGTCCACTGGAATTTATTTATTCAGTTAAGATCTTTGTTCTTTTAAAGTTATTTTTTGAAGCTTATGGTAAGATGCATAATAGTGACAGTTGACCTGTAGCAATCACCAATATTTGCTTTCTCCTTGCCCTCAGCTTGTTAGTTAGGTAAAACACAGCAAGCTTTGTCCAGATTGCTTTCAGTGTGTTGTTATATCTCTAAATATAACATTTCTTAGGACTATAGTTTAGGTCCTTCTGCATCAGGGGTGGGCAATTAATTTCTATAGGGGGGGCACATGAAAAATCTGAACTGTGTTCAGGGGCCGAACCAACTTTACTTAAGAATAAAACGAAACAGTGATGTTATGATTGTTTTTATTTTAAAATGAAACAGTGATGTTATGATTGTTTTTATTTTAAACTTATTATTCTTCACAAATGCTAAAGAGGTTTTTTGCGGTATCGGGCCAGACTGGAGCGATGACCGGCGGGCAGGACAGGAGCGGCTCATGGGCTGTATGTGGCCCGCGGGCCGCACTTTGCCCAGGTCTGTTCTACATGGAGCATTTGTTCTTAAATACTGGGTTTTGTGCTGATATTACTGGTATTTTTCCTGCCATACATATGATACGCATCTTGTCTTGCTTCATATGGTGTTTTCCTCAGTGACTTTCCACCCTTTTTAAAACCCTCTAAAAGCAAGGTTTAGTTTCAGTAACATTTTATAATGGGTGTGGATGTCTGTATGAGAGCTCTAGTCAGAAGATTTGAATTAGCTCTCAAAAGCTCCAGCTGAGCAACAGAGAAGAGGGAGATAGACCAAGGCTGCTTCCTACATTCCTGTCTTAAATCTGGTAGCATAGTTGTCCTGCTAAAGGATCTGTTTTCATTTTGGTGCATTATGGTGCTAACTCCAGTAAGAAGGGCCCCAGCTCAGTAGCAGAGCATATACTCTGCATGTGAAAGTTTCATTTCAGGAACTTTAGTTAACATTCTGGGCTGAAATCTTTGAGATCTGATGCCAATCAGAATGCACAATACTGTCCTAGACAGTCCTATGCTCTGCTCTACGCTGCTGTGCAACAACTCCATAAATTCTTATATATACCTCTGTCTATGCTCTACCAGCAGGTCTTTCCTCCTATTAGTCTGAGTAAATCAGGTATCCAAGGATGTTCCACTTGAAACCATGGGAAGCCTTGCCTGAGACTCTACAAATGTCACTTTTGTTGGTGCAGCTCAGCAATCAGACCCAAAATTACAAAACTGCCTTTCCGTTACTTGCCAGCGTTTTCTTACCAATGCACTGGGTTGGAAATCTGTTGTTTTCAACTTAACTCTTCAGTAAATTCAGTTAAATTCTGGGTTGTGGTGCTTAAGATTAGAGATGACAGACTGGAATAATACAAAGTGTACAAAAACTGACCATCCCTTTTGGCACATATGTTTGCAAATATAGTTCCAAGCTTCTATTGTGGGAAAAAAACTATTTCATTGGAACTTACACTTGTTTTTCTCTGCTATTCTTACCAGTCGTCTTGTGAGGCCAGCCGTGGAAAACTGCTCCAGCTGACAAATTTGCTTGGTTCTATTGAAGACAAGGTACAGTCATGTTTAGATATTTACCTTGATCTTTCTTTACCTCTGAATGTTTCTCCTTCTGTACCATGTCTTCTTCATGGTAGTATTTATTGAGGGAAATGGAAGTGGGGTAATAAAGTGCTTGGGAGGGAAATGCAGAAATACTTACTGTGAAACTTACTTTAAAAAAAGAGTCATTTCTTCTTTCTTATGCTACTCAGGAAGTGAGATCTTACAATGTACTCCCACGTCTAGGCTTCTTCCTTTCTACCAATTCCCAAGGGTATCATTTCAGAATGCGATAGTTATTTAGGAGCGCTTTCTGTTAGACGAACATGTTATGTGTCCTGGTGGGTGGTCTATGGACTGAGTAGGGGAGGGCACCTGAATAACGTAAGGTGAGGTCTGCTCCAGTTATGAGTGGCTCATACACAATGCACAATAATGATGCATGATAAATGTATTATTCTATAGCTTACAGATAGAGGGAACAGAGAATGATCTGTGTGGCATGTGTGTGCATGCAATTACTGCTCAGAAAAGTTGCTTTTTTGGACTACAACTTCCAAACCTCCCTCCATCACCACTGACATGATGAGTGGTCATGGTCTTTACATACACCACGAGGTAACCTTTTATAGAGTAGCACACTCAAAGGGATAGATAGTAACAAACCAAATTTAGGGGAAACTTGACAATTTTTATTTTCAATATATGTGACAATCAGAATCTTTGTGGCTGAGTCAGGCCATTTCTAAGAATTATCCAGCTCTGGAATCAGTCAGGTGTAGGATTTTCAAACAAGAAACCCTTGTATTTGTGGTTGTTGTGGGTTTTTCGGGCTCTTTGGCCGTGTTCTGAAGGTTGTTCTTCCTAACGTTTCTCCAGTCTCTGTGGCTGGCATCTTCAGAGGACAGGAGTCAGAGTTCTGGCCATGAAAGCCTTCGAGAATACCTTGTATTTATATTTTTACAGGCCAAGAAATTGTTGATTGAGGGGCTGGACTCAACACATCGGCGTTCACTTATTCCTCCTGTAACCTTTGAGGTGACTTTGACTTATTTCTGTAGTTAAGACATAAGTATAAAAATGACATCACATTTTCAATTAAATATTTTCTGATAAATTTAAGAACGCACAGTCAGCCAACAAGTGAAGTTTATAGGCGTTTTCTGTGGTTTTATGGCTCTGGTAGTTAAGTAATATTACTCCATCCCACTAAGCTCAGAGGCACATCTGGTGAGGATTCAACAGAGGGCCTCCTCAGGGACTAAGGTTATGGAAAGCCTCTCCTCATGAGGCTAGTTTGCCCTTTCCCTCCTGTCCTTCAGGAAACAGATGAAGAACTTCCATTTTAATCTGGCTTTTAACAACTGAATTGAGCAGTGAAGAGTTTTTCATCTTGAGATGCTGATACTGCTTCCATTTGTGTTTTAATGTGTTCTTAACTGCTTCAAACTAATTGTTTTTATGTTGTTATATTTCTTTTAAAGAAACAATGTATGGTATTTTTAGTTAGCTTGCTTTTTAAAAAAAAAACATTTGTGAACCCCCTTGGGTCCTTCACCAAAAGAAAGGCAACATAAAAATGAACCAAATAAATAGCTAAATAAAATCAGAAATGTTAAATATATATAGATGTTAAATGTGTGTGTGTGCGCGTATGTGTGTTTGTGTGTGTGTATACACACACAATAAATAAAATCAGAAATGTTAAATATCTATAGATGTTAAATGTATGTGTGTGTGTGTGTGTGTGTGTGTATAAATACACACAGAGAGAGATACTTATGAATGATATTTCTCTTTTCTCATAGGTGAAAGCAGACTATGAATGACATTTCTCTTTTCTCATAGGTGAAAGCAGACTGTCTTGGGATTTCTTCCAAGTTACATCTTAAAGTTGATGTTGAAATGGGAAAACTTATTATCAAAAAAGCTAAGGATGGTCCAGAAGACAAATTCTATACCCACAAGAAAAGTAAGGCAGACTCACCAGTGATGGGTGGATTACTGATTCCATGAGCATTTACCAAATATTTTCATAGATGCTCCAGAGATCAAACATTATGGCAGGAATGATACTTACTTACTTACTTACTTACTTACTTACTTACTTACTTACTTATACCCCGACCATCTGGCCTAAAAGCATTTACCAAATATTTTCATAGATGCTCCAGAGATCAAACATTATGGCAGGAATGAGCAAAATGCAACTTCTATGTCCCTGGATGGACTGTGGCTCCTAAAAGCCTTAGATAAGATAGCCAATAGTAAGGGATGCTGAGAAATGCAGTCAAACAATATCTAAAAGCCCGCATATCCTCAGTCCTGCAGTAGGAAGAATGATTTTTCAAGTGCTATGCAGCCATGCCAGACATGTGGTCTCTGTCCCTGACCACTGGACATTCTGGTTGGGGATGATGGGAGTCATAATACCACCGTATGGGGGGACCCAAAGTTGGAAACACCTGCCCTGATTAAATCTGGCATTTCCTTATGTTTTCTTTAAAATTAACTCTGATGGAATGCAATTTGTCACAGGAGAGCTCTGGGAATTGAAAAGAGCTTTTCCCTCAATAAAAATACTATTCCTTGTTGTGATTTTCCGTGTTTAAAAGACACCGAGGAGCCTGTACATGGGTCTTAGCAGGGCACACGGCAGCTTTTGGTAGTATTGCAGGTTCCCATGCATGTGAGTTTTCACTGGGGATTTATTTTCCCTCCCCTTCCCCCTGCACTGTAGGTTCAGTGCAAAGGCCCCTCCCCATCCTGCCAATCTTATTTCAACATTTTAAAAGGAGATCCAGTCACAAATTTCCATCATCTAGTTGGCCTGCATTGTCACTTCTAGAACATTTCCTTTGCTTTAGTTCTTATAACTGTTGCTTTGTCAAAAACGGTGTCTTATCCAGTACTCTTTCCTGAAAATTTGAGACCATTTCATTTTTCCTTATCTCCTGAAATCTCCTTTTGTTTTTTTCTCTGAAGTATATACCTCCCATTCCTTTTTTCATTTACTTCACTCTTATCTTATTTCTTGCTTCCTTCTCATTCTCCCTGCATTCCCTTCTTTGTCATCTCTAATAACATTGTGACAGGTTCTTTATAGATATTCATCCTCCAACCTAACAGACTTTGTCTCCATCATCTTCCCGGAAATAAGCAAGCTTTGTTCTGAGAATGCTATAAGAACATTATTTGCTGTCTTTTGATAAACTTTTTTTCTTTGGAATGTACGTATGTTGTTGTTCCATTTCAGTATTGAATTTAGACTGTTAAGTCAAACACGCAAGATGGCTTAACAGAGATGGAATTAAATTCATTTAACCCTCAAGTTTGCTAGTGGCTGCCGACAGAAATTTCCTCTCAGCATCTTCAATAGTTGTTGCCAGTCTATATTGGGAAAAGGTTTATTTTCATCACCAGCAGATCTTTCATCTCCTTGTCATAGGCACTCAGGAAAAGGAACTTAAGCAGTCCTTAAATAAAGAAGGACTGAATTGTTTTGGAAAGCCCCACGGGGAGTGGATGAATCCTAGGCCAAAGACCTTTTCTTGTCCCACATTTCTCATGTTGCACATTTAAATTATAACAATTACCTGTGGCCAGACTTACTATTAGACAAAGTGAAGCAGCAGGTTCAGGTGGCAGATGCTATGGAATGAGCTGTGTTGGAGGAGAGAGCTATGAGTGCCAAGTGGCTTATCCTGCACTCCCAACGCTAGATTGTTGTCTATATGTGCAGTGGTAGATACAGATCTACTGCCAGCATCACAGTAAAAATGCTTTGCCAGTACAGACAGTTTCTATGCAGATAACAAGTGGGGGTGCCATCTTGTCCTTTGTCTTAGGCAGCATAATAGCTTGGGCTAGTCATTGGGCTGACATTGCCCATGGTAATAGGTTTCTTTCTTACTACATCTATGTTTTCTCTCTGATGAGTTTTATGTCTGATGAGTTTTTAAAGCACTTTCCTTAATGAAAACAAAACAGGTCGTGCAGGAGGGGCAGGAAACATGGATATAGAGAAGAGATACTTATACTGTACATAGTCTAGAAAGACTAATTAGCAAATCCTTTATTTGGAGTTTAGGATGGAAAATTGCAACCATGCTTCAAGGGATCATCCTCAAGACCAAGCTGACTTTACAACCTAGGTCTGAATTCACCTTGTATAAGCAGGCTCAGCATGGACATTTGCCATGAATTTTTGGGACTCTTAGCTACAGGTTTTCCGCAGTGTCCATGAAGGGGTGGTGCCCAGCCTGATGAAGCGGGATCTTATATATTAAAGCTTGCAATTAGTTTGATTTTTTTAAATGATTCAGTAAAGGTATCACCATAGTCTTGTATTCTTTATACACAAATCACTATGATCCTTGCATTAATATTTTTATTCATTTATTTATTTAAAATATTTTACTTCACCTTTCTTCTTAAAATAGTTGCTGCTAATGAGTAGCTTATCTTGTGACACATTAGGTATCTTGTATAAATAAATAAATAAATAAATAAATAAATAAATAAATAAATAAATAAATAAATAAATAAATAAATAAATAAATAAATGACTTTTGCTTAATAAGAAATATGTTAAACTCCATGGGATTTTTCAATAGCTGATGACAAGATGTACCAAGAGGAGGGAGAAAATAGCTCATATCCATGCTTGATATTTTAACCTCTTAATTACAAGACCAGCGTTCATAACTTTTACTAAGTTCAGCATATTTAAGCATCTGGTATTTCCCTCTTCAAAATGTCTATTGCCTAAAATCAGTGACCTCTGCTTAGTCCTACAGCTCATTAAGTCTCAGAAGTTCCCTAACAAGCTGGTGATTGTCCTGGAAACAGAAAAAGAGAAAACACAGAGAAAAGAATATGTATTTGCTGACTCAAAGGTAAATTCCCCAATATATGATGCTTATACAACTTTAATGCAGCTCAGACACTATTTAAGACATAATTTTGCACTAGAACAAAGAAAAAAATAATGAATGGAAATTATTAATTAAAGCCTTCTTTCCCCACCCCACTAAAGAACCACTTAGGGAAGCTCTTTCAGTGATTTAGGTATCTGTCTGTTGAGCCAGAGTTTGGGAGTTCAACACAACACAATGCAACACAAGGCATACCATTATCATCATTTAAAGGAGCAGTCGGGGATTTTACCTTCAGCCCAGTTCAACAGGAAGCAGAAAATGAACTTGGAGAGAAAAGGTGTTTCATTTAAAAGAAGAGAAACTAAAAATGTTTTGTTCACTTTAGGCAGACTTTTATTCCCCCCCCCCCAATTAATAACAAATGAGTTCTGGAGGATTGAATTAGAAAACAATGGAGTGCTGCAAACTAACAATGATACTGTATAGCTGCTTGGTTTAAAACAAGCCAACAAAAAATAATGAACAAAAGATGAGAGAATTCCAGCAAAAAGGGTTACTTTGGAAGCATCCAGCATTAAGGCCTTATAAGAAGCTGTCTCAGTTTGCTAGGCTTCTGATTTGGCTACCCTCCAAATTTTATGAAAGAGTGTCCTATAATCTGATTATTTATTCCCATACAACAGTTGTGGAGATGAATGTGGGTATCATTTTTGCAAAAGAGGAAAATTAATCAAACTAAGTGATTTTAGGGTTCTCATTTGTTCTGTGCAAACAAGATTGGAATCTATTCCAGGAAGATCTCACAAACCCAAGGAAGTCTGTAGCCAAAAAAAACAAACAAACAAACAAACAAACAAACAAACAAACAAACAAATAAATAAATAAATAAATAAATAAATAAATAAATAAAAAGCAGCAATTGCACAGTCACAACACCTCCTCTATTCCTGTATACCTCAGGACAAGGAAATTGGCAGGTGAGGTCTGAATCCATTGTAATGGATTCACAAAGCCAAAGGCTAAACGTAGTCCTGGAGGAGCTTAGTCAACATTTTTAAAACAATCTGTGTACAGCTGAAGTAAAACTTCCTTCAGAGACAGCTGTTTGTGCATAAACATCTCCATGCTTAGGCAAAGGCACATTTCTGGTTCCAAGAGAATCAGACGTTTTCCCAACATCCAGTTCAACTGTCACACACCTGGGTTTAATTATTGTTACTGTTTCGATTTATATACCACCCCATAGTGCTAAAGCACTATTTGGGTGGTTTGCAACATAATTATGCAAGTACTGTAACAATTTGCCCCCCAGTGAGCTGGGTAAATTTTTCCAACCTTGGAAGGATGGCTGGCTGAGTCAACCTTGAGCCAGCTAACTGAATCCATTGGGATTGAACCCAGGTCATTAACAGAGGCTGCAGTTTAACGACTGTGCCACGAAGCTTGTTATCTTTATCATTGGGTTACCCAGTTAAAGTGGTCACTATCTTTGAAAGTTCCCATATATATTGCTTCATATTTTCACACAGAGAGTCTCTCTAAAATGGCTATTCCTAGCCAGATGGCACATAATGCTATGGAAGCCATTTTCTTCAGCTTCCATGTAATGATCAGAATGATGCCTTGATTTTGTAAAGGCTGGAGTGACATGTCTGGATGAGACTAGAGCTTTTTATCATCACTGACGGGTGAATATGCCTTCTGTGCTTTGATCTCCTTCTCTCCTCCCTGGTTAAGTGGTTGTTAAATTACAACTCTTAAGATAATCATTGATGTTTCTACTTTTTGCCTGCCCAGTTTATTTTAGCATTGGTATAAACATCTGCTAACAAAGGACTTGGCTCAATGGCTAAATTGGATCAGGGTAGATCCGTCTAACTAAGGTTGAGTAAGATCATGTAGAGGTGTGATGCAGTCCTTGCATCTACATGGCATACACATATCAAATAATCCTGTTTCACTCACATCCCTTTCAAAGCAAACAAAAAAATAAAGAAGACAATCAAACAATAAATTGCCCTCCTGTCTCCTCCTCCCCCTAGGAGGAAGCTTTCTCCCCCCCCAAAAAAAAAGTATAGCGCATCAGTGCTGCCCTAATAAGCTTTTAAAAATTGTTTCCTTCCTCCCCCATTCCATGGAGGAGCAGAGGAAGTTTTTAATTTCCCAATATTATTAGGTGGCTAAGCTGTCTGCTTTAAACTGCTTAATGATACTGTATTGGGAAATTCAAAGCAGATGGGAAATTGAAAGCAGCAGGCCATCTACTTTGGTTTGATCCCCCCACTGCATGTGCTGGAAACCAAGACAAACCAGAACAATCCTACCACATCCAAAAAGCAGTAGCCCCTGACAGGGAGCCAAAACAGGTGTGAGTAGGAATACTCGTGGGTTGGGCTGGTTCACACTGGCACTTCCTTGGGTGGTCACCAGGAAAAGGAGTGAATCAGCCTATCCTCAGAGCAGACCAAATAGAAGATCAAATCCCTGTCTAGTCACACCTAAAGATGACATTCAGTGCATCTGATTAAATGGACTGTAGTCCACAGAGGCTTATGCCAAAATAACTTTGTTAGTCTTTAAAGTATCTGGCTAGATAGTTCAATGAGCTAGGAATGTTGGGAGTTTGATTTCTCACTGTGCCTCCCAGGAGAAGAGCCAGCCTGTGTAGTCTTGGGCAAGTTGCATAGTCATAGATTGCCCTCAGACGAAGGAACTGGTAAACCACTTCTAAGTACTCTCTACCTAAAATGCCCTGGAAAGGGTAATCGTAAGTCATAATAATTATTAATTAGTCATTATTATTATTATTAGTCTTTAAAGTGCCACAAGGTTCTTTGTTCTTCTGCTGCAACAAACATAGCATGACTACTGTTTAGAAATCTGATCCCAAGCATGGTCATAAAGCGCATGGTTTGTTCTGTTCCTCCATTTTCAGAAAAGAGAAGGCTTCTGCCAACTTCTCCAGCAAATGAAGAATAAGCATTCTGAACAGCCAGAGCCTGACATGATCACCATCTTTATAGGCACTTGGAACATGGGTATAAATTTAAGCTTTTAATGTTCTGGACTAGTCCATGAGGGCATATGGAGCGCTGATCCCGCCAGGCTTAGACCAGAACCAGACAGCCTCCTTATCAGAGATAGATTGAAGGCTCTGCCTGTATTTCTCCTTCTCTACTCCCATTCTCTATGGCAGGATGTATGCATGCGTGAGAGCAGGGAAGGAAGGGGGGTATCAGGTAAGCTGTCGTTCATGGCTCTGCTCACAGAGGCTGCTGTGCTTTCCGTCCCACCAGCCACCACTGTTTCTGTGTCTCTGCCTTTCTTGTTCAGATTGCTGTGAGCTTGTTTCTCCTATGGAGAAAGAAGATGATTGAGAAGAGATCACTTGGTCATGCTTTCATGTACATTATAATCTGATGCTGATGCTTCCACATCACTAGTTAAGAGAAACCACATAGGGTGGAATTGTCAGTTACTTCCAGTGTTCTAGCAAAAGGCTGTACAGCCTGTAGGTAGACATCAAAGGCTCTCCCACTGCCAATCCCCTACCTTTCTCCTTTGCCAGCAACCCAAAAGGCTTCTATGTGACTAATGATGAGCAACACATTGACACTTCTGTGTCACTAATGACAACAAAGATTGTCACTCCTCCCCAAACTGCGTGTGCACTCGCACACACAGACACACACAGAGAGAGAGACATACAGAAAGAGAGAGAATATGTGTGTGAGTGATCTAGCACAAGATTTGTGAGTTGGAGAAAATCTGAAACTTTCCTTGTTCCACAGTTAGGGCATGTGTGCATGTGCAGCTTTCTGGGTCCCTTGTCAGCACAGAATAGGGCCCTCATGGCCTAAAGAGGCTGCGCATCCAGGCTACATTATTTTATAGGCTTGATGATCCTTGTGATTTCATGGCCAGAATTCTATTGATTATTTGAGCCAGTGTAAGTACAGTGGCATAAATCACAGTAGTTAATTACTGCTAGTTAACATGTCACCACTTGTTGTTAACTAGCATTACTGCTACATGTTAACTAGCATTACTGCTAGTTAACATGTCACCACTTGTATTCCTCATCATGCATGCATGTTGACTGGGATAACAATGACTCCTTCACTAGCAGCAATGCACCACTGCAATTTACACCCTTGCACTTTCTTCAGCTTCTGGCCAGTGTGACATGCAGTAGATAATCACTGGGCTTTCTTTTTTGTAAGAGAATAATCTGATGGGCAGTTTGTAGACTCCTTTCCCGAATCTCTCTCTCTCTTTCTCTCAACCTCCTTAAAAAAGCAGCTGTGTGACAGGGAAAAAATCAACAGGTGTAGTTTCCTGTCACTTTGGCACCATAACATAAAATATGCTAGCCCCCCTCTTCCTCCACAGCCACTTATCTGTTAAAAGAACTATCTGTCAGGAAAGTAGGTGGCAACCTGTCCATCAAAACCCTTATTTCTGAGGAGAAATGCAGGCAGTACACGACAAACTATAGTTGCTGCCTTCGTTTGTGTTCATAATCAAGTGAGATTCTTCACATACATCCTCAAGGTCTAGGTACTGGGGTGGCATGGATCAGTGTCTAGTACAGCATGAACTTTCTGTGCAGAATTCCCAAATTCATTATCCAATGTATCTAAGTCACACGGGGAACTATTCCTGTGCATTTTCCTCAGCAGCCACTGCTGTTCAATGTAGATGTGGGCAGCTCATGTTCAAAATTCAAGAGAGACATATCCCAAAATTCAGATTGCGGGGCGCATGCATACATGTGCGCGCACGCATGCACACACGCACGCGCACACAAACACACACACACACACCAAAATCAAACCATGAGCCATATAGGATTAATAATAATTGTGTGTTGTCGAGTCAGTTCTAAACTGACAACTAAACTGGTGAGATGGCTGGATAGCTCAGTGGTTTGGGTAACTGGCTGCAGAGCCAGAAGTTGGCAGTTAGATTTCCCACTGTTCCTCCTGTGGGAAAAGCCAGCCTGTATGGCCTTGGTCAAGCTGCACAGTCCCAGGGCGCTCCCTGAAGAAGGGAATGATAAACCACTTTAGTACTAAATAGATGGACCAGTGGTGTGTCTTTGTGTACTGCAGGCTCCTGTGCTAGTTTTCCCTGAAGAAGGTAATGATAAGCCACTTTGGTGTATTACCAAATAGATGGACCAGTGGTGTGACTTTGTGTACTGCAGGCTCCTGTGCTAGTTTTGGATTTTCCAATCCAGGTGATGCTCCTCCACCAAAGAAGATCAGCTCCTGGTTCCTTTCAAAGGGTCAAGGGAAAACCCGTGACGACACAGCAGATTATATTCCACATGATATCTATGTGATTGGCACACAAGAGGATTCGTTGGGAGAAAAAGAATGGCAAGACATTCTGAGACAATCCTTGCAACAGATTACCAGTATTAGTTTCAAAGTGGTAAGGAAGGATCTTTTCTACACTAAAACTTAAGGCTCAGAAATACATTGTTAATAGGAGTTCTGTACATACAAATCTCATTTCTGAGGGCAATTAGCTATATAACACACAAGAAAAATGTACATTTTACTTGGTCAACTGGTTATACCATTGCTTATTATACCATTATTTATGTGAAATTGAAGTTAGTAGTAGAGATAATGTACATTTTACTTCGTCAACTGGTTATACCATTGCTTATTATATCACTATTTATGTGAAATTGAAGTTAGTAGTAGAGGTTAGTTGTGCCATCCATGTCTAATATGAAGTAAAATGTGTATTACAGAGTAATGATAGATGCACACTTCATACTGGTAACAACTTTGCTATTGTAAATCAAGGGTGGGTAATCTCAGTGGGCTGGGAGCCAGATTTTTTGTCCCCAACCTCACTGGGGTTTACATCAAAAATGAAAACAGGGAGTGCCCAGATGGACACGTTTGGTTTCCTCTCCCTCCTTTTTTAGACATTGGGAGGCCTTGGGAACCCTGCCAATCTTGCAGGCTTCTGTGGGTAGAAGTAGGCCTTGAGGTTGGCTTTTTGTTTAGTTTTTTTAAAAAAACTGGTGGCTTTCAGTTGGCTTTGGGGCTTCAAAAATGCCCAATGCTGCCAAGAATACTGTGCCACAAAAGAGTGTGTGTACTCATACAACGCCAGTTGCACAGCATGTCCAACACCTTTTTGTTTCATTACTTTATTTGTGTACTCAGTTTATATCTCAGGAGAAATCTGGTTGATATGTTCCTCTGGAATAATGACATTTAAAACCAGAAATATGTTGTGTTTGGTGGATTTACTATAGGTCTCTGCTTATTATAACTCAGATTAGGCAGGGGTGAAGTAGGTTAGCCATGGATTCCCTTCCAAGTCTCCTGTTGTGTTACTATTCTGTTAAATAACTAGGCTTTGAACTTACTTCTGTTTTTGGATGGTAACTCCAAGAATCCCCAGCCAACATGGGTGGTGGCTCTCCCTAAGTTATATCTTGTGGAAGTATGCAACTGTTGATTTTTTTTTCCTGCTTTCCTGATTAGATAGCGATTCACACCCTCTGGAACATCAGGATTGTTGTTCTGGCCAAGCCAGAGCATGAAAATCGCATAAGCCACCTCTGCATTGACAATGTGAAGACAGGAATTGCAAACAGACTTGGTAAGGGTTTGGGTGCAACATACCTAACGGACAGTACCATCATAACCTCCCAAGTTTGATAGACCCACAGGGAGGTATATCCAGTTATCTCAGTCACACAAACTACAGACAGCATGCAAGGCTGCAAATAAAACTCCAGCCTATTCTGGGAATCCTAAGCTCTAGGAGGAAGCTGCAATAATTATTTACTCAGGGCTTTCTTGGTCTGTTTCATAAATTGTTACTGGAGGAACTGAAGATTATTGTAGAGAGACATTCCACCAGCATTTTAAAAGCTTTTGAAAGAAATTCATTTCTAGAATTCTGTATCACATACATTAATTCCCAATCTTCTTTCCTCATCCGCTACTGTATTTAAGAGGTGTTTTGCTCTTCATTGTTTCTGGGTTGATTTATTGATATCTCTGCTTTTGGCTTGATTTTTCCTTTCAGGTAACAAAGGAGCAGTTGGGGTGTCATTCATGTTTAATGGAACCTCCTTTGGTTTTGTCAACAGTCATTTGACTTCAGGAAGTGAAAAAAAGCACAGGTAAATTGTTAGTGTATATCTCTGAAAATCACTACACAAACAGCTATTGCTGCAGCCCCACTGAGCTACTACAATTACTGGGTGACCTTCAGCCAGTCACTCTAGCCTTATGCAGGTCTTACGAAGTGTGTGTACTTGACATATTGGGAACAGAATGCACGAATCCTGTCCCACTCCACCACTTACATGCCTGCAGAGAAGAAAGCCTGTTCTGTCTGTGGAAAATATCGATGTGAACCCGAGGAAACTGATTTTTCTATGTTCTGGCTTGTGAGGAGAGCCTCCATAGATACAACAGGCTCTCTATTCTTCAAACATTGCTTTCACATGAGGAAAACAGGGAGGGATTGCATGCTCCCTTCCTTGTGTGGACAAAGGAAGGAAGGAAGGAAGGAAGGAAGGAAGGAAGGAAGGAAGGAAAAGGAAGGAAGGGAGAGCCCCCATAGATACAACAGGCTCTCTATTCTTCAAACATTGCTTTCACATGAGGAAAACAGGGAGGGATTGCATGCTCCCTTCCTTGTGTGAAGGGAGGGAGGGAGGGAGGGTGGGCGGGCAGGCAGGCAGACTTTTAAAAATGCATGTTTAGTATAATATGCCTGAAAAAATATTTGTAACTCAGTGGCTAAGTGGCTTAGGTTTCTGGCTGCAGAGCCAGAGGTTAGAAGTTTGATCCCCCACTGTGTGTGCTGCTTATATGCCACCCCATAGCTCTTAAAGCACTCTCTAGGTGGTTTACAATTTAATTATGCAGGCTATACATTGTCCCATCTCCCCCAGCAAGCTGAGTACTCAGTTTACCAACCTCGGAAGGATGGAAGACTGAGTGAACCTCAAGCCAGCTACCTGGGACTGAACCCGGGTTGTGAGCAGAGTTTTCACTGCAGTACTGAAGCCTCAGTGAAGGGTGAAATGTAAAGAAATGTATTCAAAGTGTTTTTATATGCAAAGAGGCACTGCTGACTCTGCAGGATTTGGCACAAGATTCTCTGGTTGTACTCTTGCCAAGGAGATAAACAAAGCTGTCCAATTTTGGGCATTACCTTAAAACATGCTTTCCTCTTTGAGGTGGAAGAAAGGCAGTGTGCTGCCCTACTGAAATGTATCCTCCATCTAATACACACACCCTTCACACACACCTAAGAGAGAGAAATAGGTAAGGAACTCAAATGGTTCGGACTACTCTTATCTTAATTAAAAAAGAATAACAGAGAATTGGTGTTGTCTCTTGTCTCTTCCTTCTGGAGGGAGGACATGATGAGAAAACAGAAGGCTTTGAACTGTTTGTGCTCGTTCTTCTTGACCATATAAATTTGTCTGCTAGATTTCACGGCACCCTCTGGCCTGTTGGTTTCAGAAATATAAATCATATAAACATGCTTATGTAAAGGGATCAAGAGCTTTGTTAAACTGCAGCACTTTTCCTTCTTTCTGTGTCCCAAATTCAGCTTCCTGTAGTGGTTGTGAATTCCCATGGCAACACATACTGCAGGTGCAAGAGCAGGCAAAACCTGTATTAGACCATTAACAATGGTGTTGTAAGCCGCCTAGAGTGGTCGTAATTGACCAGATAGGTGGGGTATAAATTGAATAAATAAATAAATAAATAAATAACAAATCAAACAAACAGTGAGCTTTCTTGGGCCATGTCCACTTCCTCCAGCCATGCGTCGATATTTTGGGAATAGTGCAGAAAAATTATAAATGAGTACTTCTTTTTCACAGCATCTTTTGGGTTGGAATTAATGGAGAGAATTGCTAATAACACAGCTAACAGTTCTGATGCAGTATGTTAAATGTCTCAAATTAGATGTAATACTATTGTATGATTGATAGCAAATATTGTACAAGCATCCCTTCAGAATATATTTTAATTTTACAAAATTCCTATTCATAGGTCAAAGGAGGTATGTGCTTATCTATTTCTGGGGGGCTGTGTGGTTTTCTAGATCTTAACGGGGCAATGACCATCACCCTTTTTCAGCACAGTAAAAGATGATGGATGATGGAAGTTGCAGTCCACCAACTTCTAGAGGACTGTGTATTCCCCACACTGACTGATATGGAGATCCTTTTAAAATATTGGGGGGGGGGGGGGCAGCGTATGTAGAAGGGTATTGTACCTCAGCCTAGCAAAATGTTCGGGGTTCATTTTTGGAAAACACAAAGTATACACCTATGTTTCACAAATAACCACCATGAATTGCAGTTTTTTCATGCTAAATCGGTGTGCTGAACTACTTCAATATGTTCAGGAGCATTTGGTTTCTTAGCTTGTTCTGTCTTGGTATTCTGGTGTGCATATATTCTGTTCTGGGCTGTAATGACTTGCTTTCCACATGCCCCTCATGGTTGCCACCATCTCTGCAAGGGAACACTCTCTTATGGACCAGGTCGCCATCTGTACTTCCAGTCTGCCCAGTGATTTCTCCCACTCCAACACTGAAGCCTTGCGTTCATTGTACTGCAATTAAATTCTATTGTTTCATGGTTACTTTGAGGACACTTGTGCATTTCCAGCATAATTCCACTCTTATTCTTCTTTCCTTGGCATTGACTGTGTGCACCATAATGACCACTTATATTGGTAAAGCAGAATGAAAATCAGAAAAGAATCTGGACAAGTTCTCTTCTCAAGATCCCAGTGCCAGGTTCTGGCCTGATGATATCATTGACCCGCTGTGTTTCTTCCCAGATGCTATGATGACATGATGGATGGAAGTGGGCTATGGTATCATCATGAATCATCACACCCCTTTCACTCCACCATGGGCAGCATTGCCATAACAAAAGTGAGTGTGTGTCACATGGTGCAAACACATAGGCAAGGAGGCTTCGATAATGACAGGCGTGGCTGCACCTGCCCAGATCCTTAATTTGCCCGCATCAGAATGGCAGATATCGCAATAACATGCAGCAAGTCATAAGAACAAAGGTGGGAGGGGGAGGAATAAGACTAGTATGGAAAGGAACATGTGATAAGCTTCAGGAGGAAGCAGAAGGGAAAGGAATTAGCATATGGTGGAGAGCAGCACAATAATTTATTGTTTTTAAATTTTGTAATGCTACCCAGGGTAGATCCAGTCTAGATGGGCGGGGTATAAATCTAATAAAATAAATAAAATTAAATGACCAGTGTCTGCTTTGCCTCCTTGCAAAAGCAGCATAGAGCTCCCTTTTGTCCCTGACATTTCAGGAAACACTTTCAAACATCTCAAACATTATATTTCCCTATCAAAAGAATTGCTTGACTGATGGTTGTTGCAGGTTTTTTGGGCTGTCCAGTGTCTGCTTTGCCTCCTTGCAAAAGCAGCATAAAGCTCTCTTTTGTCCCTGGCATTTCAGGAAACACTTTCAAACATCTTGAACATATTCCCCTATCAAAAGAATTGCTTGACTGAACACGGCCAAACAGCCCGAAAAACCTACAGCAACCATAGGATCCCGGCTGTGAATGCATTCGAGAATAAATTGCTTGACTCTTGAGATAAGTTGATTTAAGAGAGCTGATGGGGGGAGAATTTCTTGTTTCTCCTTAACCCCCAGCCACCACATGTGACTCCTGAAAGCCCCTTTGGAGAGTAGAGTAGTGGCTCCCACATAGAGTAAGATGGAATGAAAGAGGCTGCGGGGAAAAAGGATTCAGTCATAATTGGGCTTGAATACAAACATGGGGTGTATATACACTTGTGGAAACTATAGGCCAATATTCTTCTACCCAAGGATCCATTATAGGCTGCAACCACTCCCTCCAAAATGAAACCAGAAGTGATGAGACATATACTTCCTGTTCTGCAAACCCCATTTTTCTGAGGGCAGAATGAAGTTTCCTGGAGATACTCTTTGATTTAAAAGAGAATTACATTTTCTGGAAACTTTGAACAAAAACACATTGGAAGGTGGGTTCATGCAGTCCTCAAGCCCACAAATATCCCATCCGTATTCTAAGATAAAGTGACTTAAATTAGGGCTTGACTGCACATTCTAATACTCCCGTTTTTGCATCAGATTTGCATGCTTGGAAGCAAATTAAAACTCTCCAACTACATAACATATAGCTAAACACACTTTTTTTGTTAGGAAGCGGGTTCTTTTAAACACCCATATGGGGGTTGTTTATTTTAAATCAGTTCTAGACACTCTTTTTACAAACTGCCTTTTGCTAGAGTAGTGTCTGTGGGGATCTGTGAGGTTTGCTGAGTTTTCAGTGCCAAGTACAATATTTTTTGGACATTATATCCAACACTTCATTTTTCCTTGTATCTGTTTCTGTTTCAGTACTGTATTGATCTAGTATTATGCCACTTAGGTAAACCTTATGTAAAAAGAATTAATATTTTAAACAACATGATTTAGACTAAACATGATGATTTTAAAGGACAAGGGAAACAGCTGTTAAAGAAGTTGTGGGCTGTCTTGTAAGCTGCTGGTGCTGGCTTTGACAAATAAAAGCTGGGTCTGGTGTTAGCTGTTTCAGGGTAGGCAAATTCCTCTTAAAGAAAGCCACAAGGTATGGTTCAGGTGAAAAATTTAATTCCCAGTATAGAAAAAACAAACAAACAGGGAAAACTCAGGCCCAGACTGCCACACAGCTTATAACTGGGATAAAAGTTGCTCTATGACGAAACACACACCGGCATAGAAACCATGCAATGGTAACTCAATTTCTAAAAACCTGAACCAGCTCCCGGTTTAATTCAACAGTGTAGTCATGGCCTCAGTTTGCAGAAAAAAGTTTTCAGCCCTTTCCTTTCCTTAGCAACCTGCTGAGTCACATTTCACATGATTCAGGAGCATTCCTGCTGATCCTCCATTAAGTCTTCTTAGTGAACACAGGCAACTGAAGTGGGGAAGAAGAGCTGGAAAGCTTTCTGCTAACTTTCTTCCAGTAGTTTATCATAGGATCCAAGCCAATGCGCTTTCTCTCAGTTCTGCAGCCATTATCATTACAGTATGTTCAAGTTCCCTTTTGGAGAACTTGGCTAGATCAGAATCTTCTTGTTTTTAGTCTCATCCCACCATGGCTCTCCATGGTCTACCCTTGCTGTTCTATGCTCCCAGAGGAAAGTGGGCCACAGCTAGGGCTGAAACATGGAAACATCTGTTGTTCGCCTAGCTCTAGCCTCCTCCCCAAGACAACACACACACCTTAACGGGAGTAAAAATGACCGCAACTTTGTTAATTACAGCAGCAGTTAACCTGGAAAGCAGGGTTGGATCCTGTCCATCGGGGCCCCTGAATGCCATCTAGTGTTACCCACCATCTCCACAGGACCCTTCCTGTGAGACCACTTGGAATGGCAGATTCCAGGGGCAGAGGCAACTTTTCCGCCCGACCGCTGAGCAGCCCCAGTTCCTCTTCAGGGATTCCACACCGTCCATGATCTGCACTCCATCCCAGTGCTCAAAACCGCCCAACTGAGTTGTGACAATAGAGGAGAAGTGAACAGACACCTAATAGTGCAACCAAGGAACTTATGTGAGAAAGTGTAAATAGTATAACTAACAAGAGCAGGCTGGAGGGGAAGCTGCTCGGAAGGAACTGGGGCTCAGCAGGGCCCCAGCTCCTCCTTTTGAATCCTGCCAGTGGACTGGTGCAGAGGCCACACCTCTTCTGGTCTGCCGGCCAGTCCAGCCCTCCCTGCTACCCTTCCTTTTGTGCGGGTGCAAGGGCTGGACAACTTCCTGCTGGCCCTAACCATGCTACCACCGCCATTATGCAGCCTACAAACTTGGAGGGGGGTTGGCCTCTGCACTAGCAACAACGCAGGAACTGGGTAAATCTTTGTTCCTATCTTTTCTCAAGTGACCTACCTACTTTAGTCTCAAAGTAAGGGTCTCTGCTGGTGCTACTTTTGGTGAAATACTTATTGTTTATCTAGAGCTGTATTTCTAGGTTGCTTTTTGGAAGGGTATACATTATGGGTATACATTATGGCTTACAAGAATGAATAAAAACATAAAATGCAATATAACTAAATTTTGTATGTACTAAAATACTAAATTGTGCATCCTTCTCTTGTTTTATTAGGCGGAATCAAAACTACACAAGTATCCTACGCTTTCTCTCACTGGGAGACAAGAAGTTGCATCCATTTAATATCACCCATCGCTTCACTCATCTCTTCTGGCTTGGAGATCTGAATTATCGTTTAGAGTTGCCCCCAGTGGTTAGCCAATTTGCTTCCTTCTTAACAGCACTGAATTTAGAAGTTATGCAGAGTCCTTTTGTTTGTAGAGTGCTTTATTATGGTACATTGTTTGGTAATCTTTACGACACCCCTGCAAGGCCAGTACCTCTTATTATCTTCCCTTATTACAAATGAAGGACAGAAATTGAGAGGACACCTGGCATTTGCTGACTTTCACGGGTGAGATGAGGTTTGAACTGGTGCTTTTCTGGTTCCCAGTTCACCTTCTCAGAGCTATTCTCACATAAGCAGCCAGAGATCCACCACACAAGTGAACTTATCAAGCCTTAGCAGTATAACCTTTGCATTTTATCAAAGGTGCCATTTTATTACTCATGCTTCTTTTGTGATTAGTCTTTTTAGGTAATTCAAAAATGTTTCCCTTGCTATAATTACCTTAATATAATTAATTGTATTTTTTTAAAGAGTGAAATGCCACTTACATTAATCAAAGTTGTAGCAACATAGTTAATGGAGTTGATTGGAAGGAAGCACATTTTTCGTTGTTACTTTTTAATTTGCATGACAATATTATAACACTATACCCTTTTAATTCTATACTGTGATAAGAAACTATAATGTTAGTATGAAAGAAGAAATGTTATAGGAGTATGGTGCTATAGCACTAAGCTTTAGAAGAATTAAAAACCCTTTCTGACTGAAGCCATTGACTTTTTAATACAGTCATAGAATAATTAAGTTGGAAGGGGCCTATAAGTCCATCGGGTCAATTTCCCTGCTCAATCAGAAATCCAAATAAAAGCAGATCTGACATTTCCCTGCTCAATCAGCAATCCAAATAAAAGCAGATCTGACAGATTGTTGTCCAATTTTTTTCTCAAATGCCTCCAGCATTGGAGTGCTCACCACCGGGTGCAAACATACAATATCCCCCATAGTGCAGAAGGCCAATTGTAGCTTATAGCAGAAGAAAAGTAAATTTTGGCACCAAACAAAATCCATCTGGAAGCTCATCAGATATTGTAAAGAAGAATATTTTAAAATGACAAGAGTTGACACTATCCCAAGTAGAATATAAAGCTGGCTAGACAGATGGGAGATCAAGCTTCACGACCTGGTGCAGCAGTAAATGTGTGATGACCCCCCATCACATCCCCACAGGGGCAGATGCTTTAGAGATTTTGAGCAGAAATAAAATGAGAACAGAGGATGCAGAATGGATGTTCTCTAGCCTGTCAATAAGCTGTTCTCCCCCAGCCGTTGACAGAGCCATTCCCCAACCTTGCAAAAACCAATATTGAACATTCCAATCATCATCATCTTCATGATGATCTGCCCGGATCACCTGCTCGAGCCAGGAGGTGAGGCTGAGGAGCCTAACGCCAAGGGAGGCCCGGAATGAACGAACACGAAATAGGGCCTTCTCGGCGGTGGCTCCTCGCCTCTGGAGTAACCTTCTTCCGGTGATTTGGGCGGCCCCTACGCTGGGTACTTTTAAGAGCCAAGTAAAAACATGGTTGTATGTCCAGGCCTTCACTCCTGTCAATACCTAATTTTCTTCTTTATTTATTATTCCCTATATTCTTATATATGTCTGTCTATTTGTAATATTATTATTATTTATTGTATATGTTCCTTTTTATTGGAAGCCGCTCAGAGTGGTCTATTAGATCAGATGGGCGGGATACAAATCAAATCAAATCAAATAAAATAAATAAATAAATGCAAACAGAACTGTGTCATGAAACAATTTCTATACCTGTGATACTCCAACTTTCCTCTCTTATATTGGTATTATTGCATTGCTGCCACTGAATGAGAGCCATGTAAGTCAGGTACACTGAAAGTGGCATTACTGTAAACTATCCTGCCATTAGAACTTGCGGGAGGCACAGTGGGGAATAGAATTCCAAACCTATGGCTCCACAGCCAGATACCTATACTACTGAACTATCCTTCAAAGATAACAATTGAAACACACACACACACACACACTATCATTGATAAACACAGATATGAGATTGCACCCTAAAATATAATTCCATATAGGTCCACTCAGCAACTCATTGCCATGTATTGTATAGGAATGCATAGGACTGCAACAACCTCAGCATGTTGACACTGGGCAGCTAATGTATCATTTTTGGGGAGTCTTGAGTGGTGGAAGAGGCCCTTTCCCACTCAGACTGTGAGCTGCCCATGCTGAATAACTATAATTGGTTCTAGGCTTGGTTCTATCTGATAGGAAAGCATGTGTGTGTATTATACTGCAGTATCGCTGGTACATTTCAGAGCCATAAAGCCTGGTGTATTAGAACAGGATTAAATGAATTAAGGGTGAGAAATATACAAGATACTGAAAATTTATGACAGCCTGTCTCAGCATTTTGCTTAGAAGCACTGGTAGGAAACTTTAAATTGGCTCAAAACTATGGCACTTTGGGTTTTAAAAAAAAGAACCCAAACCTTTCCCTTATGCTGTTTTGTTGAACTAAATCACATCCATCTGTCTGTCCAAGTTTCTGTTAGTGGGTGGGGGAGAGAAAGTGCCATTTCCCTCCTTGCATCAAAAATTGCAGGTTTGGAATCTCTTCTGTGTTAGTTAAACTGGAAAATCTTGGCATAGGCAGGAGTTATGTTCCAAATCCTTCAGCATTGCTGCTCCAAGCAAATTTTAAGGCAGAGCTGGGGGGCGATCAAGAGAGCCAGTCATACGTTAGATGTTATTTGGCACTGATAACAAGTTGCTTTAAATGGCCTCAGATGCTACCTAGTAAGAAGTAGCAATTTATTAAGAGAAACAAAAGAGAGAGGGGGCACATCTGCCATAGTGACATTTCCATTGTTTTCAGGAAGCAGAGAATATCGTCCAGAAGATCAAACAGCAACAGTACTTGGAACTGCTAAATTTTGACCAGCTCCTCATAGAAAGGAAGGATCAAAAGGTTTTTCTGCAATTTGGTAAGATAGTCTATAATTTCTGCTTCTAACCTAGAATCAGACTCTGCTTTTTCTTTGCCCATTCCTTTTGTGGCCATTGAAAAATAGATTTACGAAGTCACATTAGGGTTTCTGTTAGAAGAGCAAGCACCAACAAGTGGCAGTTAGGTTTGCTTGTGGAGGTAGTCCCCCAACATTGGAATGGTTAAGAAAGCACAGTTTTCCCTTTGGAAGGAAATCACATTCACATTTAGTATTCCAAAACTATTTTAAAATGGTGTTTATTAGAGAAATGCATAGAGAGAGAGAATAAGAATCCTAGTTCTAGCTAACTGAGGTAGAGATACAGGGGCCATGGCTGCCTCTCAGCTCTTGAAATCAAAAGGCAAGATGTGTCTTCTGCCCTCTCCTAGAGAGGGTCAGGAAGGAAACATGAGAAGAAAGGGACATCAGCAACCCTAAGAATATTAGTCTAGATTGGTGGTTGCCAACCTTGGCTCCCCAGATGTTGTTGGACTAAAAGACCCCAAAGCCTTCACTACTAGCTGCGCTAGCCAGGATTTCTGGGAGTTGTACCAGTGATCAAGATAGAAAGAAACCCATCACAGGTCAATGCAAGTAAGGGACAGTCTACAAAATGTGAAGAGGTATATGATTCCCAATTCTAGTGGTAAGGCATAAGTAAACAAACAAATAAATATGCAACATAATTCATAAATAAAATTGACCAGTGCTTCTGGTGAGAAATCACACCATACGCCATATAATTAATTTATATAGGGGGGGTCACATGAAAAATCTGAAGTGAGAAACCACACCATATACCATACAATTAATTTCTATGGGGGGGTCACATGAAAAATCTGAACTGTGTTTGGGGGCCGAACCAACTTTACTTAAAAATAAAATGAAACAGTGATGTTATGATTGTTTTTTTTTAAAAAAAACTTGTTAATCTTCACAAATACTAAAGAGATTTTTTTGCGGTATGTTAAAGATAAGCAACTGATCAACTTTAGACAAAAAGCTATAAATGGTTTTGATGTTCAAAACTGTCTGCAGCTCGTGGGCTGTATGTGGCTCTCGGGCCGCACTTTGCCCAGGTCTGCCATACACGATAGCTAATAGTTGCCACATGGGATGATTTAGAGTGATCTGGATGTAAGTAATGTAACTGTAAGCTGTAGCTTTTTTATTTTGAGTAAAGTTAAAACAATAACCAAGATAGCTAAAACTTGCCACATGGGATGATTTAGAGTGATTTGGATGCAAGTAATGTAACTATAAGCTGTAGCTTTTGTATTTTGAGTAAAGTTAAAACAATAACCAATCAATTGTCTGTTTCAGAGGAGGAAGAAATAACATTTGCCCCAACCTATCGCTTTGAAAGGAACACCCGGGAGAACTATGTTTACACCAAGCAGAAAGCAACTGGGGTATGCTGTATCTTCTAACATATTGCAAAACCCTTGCTTCAGATGGTGTTTGCCTGATGCCAGAAAGGTTTCTACTTCTATAGACTGTGCAGTGAAGATAATGTAGTAGAGAATAAGCTGATGGCTTCTGTCAACAGAGCTTTCCTCTGACAGAGTAGCATGTCCTTGATCTTTATTCTTCTTTTGTTTGCAGATGAAGTACAATTTGCCATCCTGGTGTGATCGGGTGCTTTGGAAATCATATCCTCTGGTCCATGTGGTGTGTCAGTCTTATGGTGGGTAGAAAGCTGATTGAAAATAGCAGCAAAGCTGGTTTAAACGGAAATGATTCAGAACAGAATCTGTAGAATTGGCTATCACTGCCAAGTTTTCAGCAACAGATACATCCTATCCTTTCTGGCTTGGAATGCCTGCTCTTTGAACTAGGATGTGTGGTGGGGAAGGAATGAGGTAGGATTAATGGTGAGGGCAATGTGCCTTGCCAACATTAGAATGCCCTCTGCACCCAGTGCTGCTTAAGCAGAAGAGCTGTTGCAGTGTAGCAATTAGAATATACTGTTATCCCTGAGAAGCACCTACACAATGTAGGAGCGCATATTCAAGAATAAATGAGCCCAAGTATAGGTGTGCATGCATACATGCTTGTATCTCTCTCTGTGTGTGTGTGTGTGTGTGTGTGTGTGTGTGTGTGTGTGTGTGCGTGTGTGTTTGTGCCCATAACTAATTGTGTGATTTCCCTTCCCCCCAATCCTGGGCTGAAACTCAAGAGTGTTTGATTTGCTTGTGCTATAGGTAAAATCCTATAAGGTAGGATGCCTATAGGCCACTCTACAAAAATGCTCTCAGAACATATTATAAATAAGCAATAAAATTGCAATTTAAGTATTAAATCATAAATATTATTGTAATCACAACATAGCAGAATTACATAGTGAGAAGTTGTATAAAATAACAGTCCTGTGGTAAGCAAGTCCAGCACAGATTAAATGATTTTTTTTAATGGTGCTAAAATGAAAACAAGGACAGTGCCAAGGAAACATCTCTAGGAAGAGAAGTTCAAAGGTGGGATGACGCAGGTAGGGTTTCCAAGTGTCAGGTCATCAGTTCAAGCCTCAGAGTATTGCTGTGCTTCTCCAGATCTCCAGGTGGGGAGACAAATCTCAAGGCAAGAGGCACTGGAAGGGGGAACATCTCGCTTGTATGTGTGTGTGAAGTTGCTTTAGTCTCCGCTGATTGCTAGCTGACCAAAGCTCACTGGCTCAGCTTGGGTGCCAGCTGCTCCAGACACATTAGAGCCCAGGTCCAGACATTCCTCCTCGGTCCCCTCCCTTCACTCCTGGCTTTTTGTTGTTGGGTCCATCAGGCCATTTGGCGCAAGGCAGGAAGTGGAGCACCACAACTCATGAGCCTTCTTCTTATCCAGACCTTAACAGTGGCAGTGCAAAGCCTAGGCGGAGCAGACTTCCCTTCCAATGCTTGCTGCCCCACCTCTGTGGCACTGCAGGGCCTACTTTTATTATGTCACAAGGATCCCCCCTCTGAGCTCAGCTTTTGGCCCTGAAATATCAGGGGAAAGGTGCATCTGACCTGGTAATCCTAGCCACAACAAAGAAGACCCTGTCCACAGTGACTTGTTTATTGATTTGATTTATACACTCCCCATTAATGCAAGCACAACTCTGGGCAGTTTACAGTTAAAACTCACAAACCCTCCATATACTAACTAGAGGAACAAAAAATACAGTTCAAAACAATACAGCAATATAATGGACAATAATTAAGCTATTTACTGGAGCTGAGCAGGGCTGCGCATGACAGGGCCATTTTTTTTGGAGACCCCTTATTCATAGGGCCACCAAGGTTGGAAAGAGACTGAAGGGTACATGGGAACCACCATCCTAGCCTATATGCAAAAGGAAGTGTGCATGCACACAGTGTTTAAAATGACGTTTGTTTTTGACCCCCACCACAATGGTGACTTCGATTCTTTTCATCCAGAGAAGCTTCAGAAGGCCTCAGAAGGAAGTCCCACTTGCCTTCCAGGCTCCCTTCCAAGTCTCTGAGTATGGAAGAGGCTCCCTGATAGAGAAAAAGAGAGGGGGGGGGAATGGGGAGGAGCACTCCCAATCGGCAGTGGCACTTTTAAGGCCCTCCGTTCTACACAGCGGTGACCAGGCCCTGCTGCTTGGCCATCCAAGGAGAACCCAGCAGGAACTCCGTCTAGGATCCCATTTACTTTCCCATCTTACTTCAAAAATTAGCAAAGTCCAAAAGAGGACCAGTCAAGTGTGCCTGTAACACATTGAGAACAGTTAGCCTTTCAATGTCCCAAAGCATTTTGGGTTAGATTAAATGGACTGTGGGCTGGGTGCTTATCACTTTGGGGATAGGACACAGTCTGTTCTTTTCTTATTTGGAAGGTGAAGGAAATAATTTGCTTTCTTCTGCTAGGGTGCACCACTGATATCATGACAAGTGACCACAGTCCTGTCTTTGCTACATTTGAGGTTGCTGTTACCTCTCAGTTTGTCTCAAAGAATGGTGAGTAAATGCAACACAATTTTTTTTGGTTGTTGTGGGTTTTTCGGGCTTCTTGGCCGTGTTCTGAAGGTTGCTCTTCCTAACGTTTCGCCAGTCTCTGTGGCCGGCATCTTCAGATCCCGGCCATGAAAGCCTTCGCGAATACAATATTTTCTCTTTGTTCTTTATAAAGAAAGCATTTCAAAGAACACAGTACTGTAGTTCTTTTGCTGAAAAGTCTTGCTGAAAAGTGTTGTTTTTAACCTTTGCCATCCTGCTTTCTTCAGATGATAAATGCACCGACTGTTTGGGACAGATTGAATTCCTCCGCTGCAGTGCCATCCTGAAGACAAAATCTCAGACAAAATTCTACATTGAGTTCTACTCCAGCTGCCTAGAAAGTACTGTTTTTCTTATCCTTTCATAAGAAACCCAAAATAATATTTGCGTTTATTCCAAAGACTGTAAATTGGTCAGAATCCTGTTGGTGTTTTTATGCATTTTGAGTTACTTCCTGTAGTTAACTGACAAGAGGCCAGGGCTCATCTCATTTGCACAATCACATGTGTGACCAGCTACTTTCGTCAATTAACTGCAATTAGATGTGCATATACTGGAAACCTTACACAAACACCAAGAGGGTCTTGTACGCATGATTTATTTCTTCACATTAAAATGTCTAGGAAAAGGAAAGGTCCTTTGCCATACTGATTTTCTGGTCTTTGTTGTTACATTCTGCCTGTCTTTTCTTTGTGACTTTCACTTGACACTTCACTGAAAACCCTTTTAAGTTTAACAGGAATTAATACAATTCCTGTCATGTGACATTCCAAACTGAGGTGTTTTCCTTGTACTACTGCTATAGGTTACAGCAGTAAAATGTTTTGCTGTGCTCATGTCAACAAGAGATGTGTTGACATAACAAAAGATTGGCAGGGCAGTCTTATGCATAGAGAAATACAACATGTTGAACTCAGAGGGACTTACTCCAAGGAAGTGCGCATAGAAACATAGTATCAGATGCAGCCATCAGATGCAGCCAGCACACGGGCCAGGAAAGACACTGAGGCCAGCCACAGATCTCTCTCATTCAGCTGTAATGCTCAACCAGTGCTCTGGATAAATCTCTCTCCTTCTCCCAAGCTATTTTATGTATCCTCATGTATATTCCACCTTTCCTATATTGCAATTGCATCAGATCCCTGGGGAGCATCTCAGGCACTGATCCAGCTTTCTATAGCTTGAGTACAGTTACTACCTCATGTCACTTGAGCCCATACCCTGAACTTGCTACATAGGGTTGTTGTGAAGTTTAAAAACAGAAAAGCCCATAAATGCTGCTCTGAGTTTAGGAATAAAATGAGATATAGGCATCATGAGGGCCGGTGTGGTGTAGCATGTAGAATGATGGACTAAGACTGCAGAGTCCTGGGTTCAAATCCCAGCTCAGCTAGGGAAAATCACTGAGGGGTATGAAACTGGAAAACTACTCCTTAAATATTTCACGGGAAAATCACTGAGGGGTATGGAACTGGAAAACTACTCCTTAAATATTTCACATATTTTGAAAACCCTATCAGAGTTGCTATAAGTTGAATGTGACTTGATGTATTTTGAAAACCCTATTAGAGTTGCTATAAGTTGAATGTGACTTGATAAGCACATAATAACAGCATGGATATGATAAGACACTTTAATCATCATTACTATTTAATTCTTGTGCCTATCATCACAATGGCTGAAGATCAGGGGTCTTAAACTCAATTTACCTGAGGGGTATGATAAGAGACTTTAATCATCATTACTATTTAATATTTGTGCCTATCATCACAATGGCTGTAGATCAGGGGTCTTAAACTCAATTTACCTGAGGGCCACTGGAGGCAGAGTCTCCAGCTCCTTCTTCACCACCACAACCACCGGCAGGACGAAGAAGTGGAGAAGGCTAGTGCCGGCAACTGCCTAGCCAGGGGAGGAGGGCACGACATAAAATTAAAAAAAAACCCTCACAGAATTCACCTTGCCAAAGGAGAAAAGCCCCCACTGGTACCCGCAAAATTAAACAGAACGGGGTGCGGCCCCCACAGGTGCATGTGCACACACACGCACGCACACACACGGAGGTCCGGCAAACGTGCACACACACATGCGCACACACACGGAGGTCCGGCAACCTTTCTCTGAGGGCCCCCTCAAAAAAAGGCGCACTCAGCAGCAGCAGCAGCTACCCCCACCACAATGGAGGAACAAACTTTGTGAAACGCAGGCAAAAAAATTAAAGGAGGAGCTGTGTAGATAACTTTTTCTGATGGTTATCCATAATTACCTTTTATTTAATTGAAACTTGAGGGGTTACTACATTTGGCAAATAATACAGGAAATGCTCCAAAATTGGGATGGTTATATTTTCAGTATTTTCTGTTGACTACATGACATACAAGCTAATGCGAATCAGCCCAGAGGTGTTTTTTTTTTTACTACTGATCCATAGTTTTTTTTCCTCTGCCACTGGAGTTTCTCCTTTTTTCCCAATCAAATGCTTTCACATCAACTCAGACAATACAGTTTGAATCTTGTATGGAAGGGTTTGCAGCCATTCTATTTCAAGCCATTCCACTGAGCTACAGTAGTGAGAGATGAAAGGAGATACTAGCTGCTGTTTGAATCCTCTCCTCCCCAAACCTGGTGTCAGTGTGTGTCTATTTTCTTCTTCTCTTCCTGTCCTGTCTTTTCCTTTTTCTGCTGTTTGAATCCTCTCCTCCCCAAACCTGGTGTCAGTGTGTCTGTTTTCATCCTCTCTTCCTGTCCTGTCTTTTCCTTTTTCTTCTTCTTTTAAGGCATGGTGCAATTGATTTAGGGCATCTAGCAGGCCAAAAGGAGAAAAGCAGACAGCAAGGAGCAAATTGACAGCCAGCCCCCCTTCAAATCTGGACAGCCACTTCAGGGCAACCTCAACAAGATTGATTGCCAGTTTCCTCCTCTGTCTCTGCTGACTCCTGTGTAATCATCTAAAGTGAATTCACCCAGGGAAACCTGACTTTATGGGAGCAACTTCACAGTGGATTCATTTGCTTTTTCCCCACTGTGTAGTTTCATCCTTAATTAGGCAGCTTAATTCATAATGGACAGTATCCGATAAATATAGTTCAGACTCTGGGAGATCAAGAAGCTCTATTTGTGATGGGTAAGGTAAGTGGTTCTTTAAGCAGACTTACATGTTGATGCCAAAAAGTCCTGAATCTGAACTGTTTCTTTAATGAGCATGCTTGAAGTATCTTGATTATGCTGTCCATTGTCAGTAGGTTAGACATGAAAAGGGAAATAGCATGTCTCTGCTATACTCCTCCTATTATTCACATGCCACAGAACATTATTAACCCAGCTCTGCACAGAAAGTATTTTAGGTATACAGAGATTTGCATACATTTCTATGGAAACCATGTGTTAAAATCTTAAATTAGAATTTTTAAAATGTGCTCTCTTGAACAGTGTAGGAAGAGCTGTCATGTTCTTCTTATCCTCTTGTCCACACATGTACTGGGCCTGCTAATGTCTTTTTAACTGGAACGAAGTAATAAAAAGACAATACAGTAAGGTCATTTGCAAACGCACTATGTGAACATTTACGTAGGAGCACATCTTGACACAAACAGGTGGTTTCCTTTCTAGTGTCCAGAAAGAGAAATAATTAGCCATTTCTACTTGCTGCCAAGTTTTTATTTTTGTAAATGTGTGTGCTTACTGTGCATTTCTCTGCTGGTAAATGATTTCTTATCTAACATTTTTGCAGGCTTTGTAAAAAGCAAGGAGGGAGAAAATGAGGAAGGAAGTGAAGGGGAACTGGTGGTAAAGTTTGTTGAAGGCCTTCCTAAGGTAAAAACCTGACATGTTAACGTCATTCCATTACTTGCTTGCTGTACAGGAAATATGTACTGGTTTATATAAAAAACTGCTTGTATCCAATGATTATACAAATCGCATAGCCCCAATTGTTGGCCAGCACTATCCTTCCACAAATCTCTAATAGGATCCGGCCCCCTTGGAAAATAAATAATAAGGGAATTACCTTGCACCACATCTTTGCCACTTTCACTTTATTGAACAGCAGGAAGTGAAATTGACAAGATTCTTCTTGTCTAGTATGCACATCCTAAAAAGAACAGCTGAACCAGGCCTCTTGATTGTTTGGGATGGAAACTTAAAGCATCTCTGCATATGCACATAGGGAGTGCCAGTCTGAATCATTTGCACAGAGGAAAAACTTTAATATTACTACCATTACCATCTTAGTGTTTCTAATGTTGAGAATTTTGATTATAACATGTATACAGTACTCATAACATCAGCAGAATAAAGAGATATTGGTTAGCAAAGATACTTATGGCACTATGACAGAGAGAGAGTAAAACCAACAACTTAGTTTATTTCCATATATACGCAGAGAACAGACATTCCTCTGGCAGCATAACATGACATGAAGCAACACACAGCACAGGAAAAAGTGATCTGACTTACAGCCTATAAAGACATTTATTTTACACATGACGTATGTACAGTTTGTGACCAATCAGAAAATACACTACTTCATTTTCTGTTACACAAAGTTTCATCAGGTACAACATTAAGTCTTAATCCTTGATACCCACACCTGAATACAATCAGTAGAGTGACACAGGTAAAATCAGCCATTTTACGTTTAACTGCAGAAGCATCTGTGCTGCAAGGTCAGAAGACCAGCAGTTGTAAGATCGAATCCATGTGACAGAATGAGCTCCCGTCGCTTGTCCCAGCTGCTGCCAACCTAGCCGTTCGAAAGAATGTAAATGCGAGTAGATAAATAGGTACCACCACGGTGGGAAGGTAACAGCGTTCCATGTAGTCATGCTGGCCATGTGACCACGGAAACTGTCTACGGACAAACGCTGGCTCTACGCCTTGGAGACAGGGATGAGCACCACGTCCTAGAGTCGGACACGACTACACTAAATGTCAAGGGGAACATTGGCATTTTAGAAGTAATCTGCATGCCCTAGGAGGGTGATACTGAATCAGACCTTGGTGTAGGAGGTAGTTTTGCAAGCCAACTGCAGTACCTTCTAGATTTCTGCTAACCCCTGCTTATAATTTGCATTAGGAAAAAAAGCTTCCACTGGAACAAAAGATTTTTCCCCCCAATGTGTGTACCAGGCACAGGGTAAGGTATATCTGGATGAGGTCCAGTGGTGGCAAAGAGCTATATTCCCTGTATAATCATAATGTTAAGGGACTAATATTTGAGAATTTAGAATTTAAACAATAAATGTTAGAATTTCTACTTAATAGGCATGAATGCATATGATGTGTATCATTTCCTAGAAGTAAAGGGGGAAACCATAAAATAATATGGTAAAACTAGTGATAGTGCTATTTAACTGTTTCAGTTGACATCACCCTAGCAAGAAAACCAGGCATTTCTATTTTACTCCTTTTCCCCCACACTTTTTGCTCTTAGAAGTGCAGGGGTAAGTCATTCCAAATTATTGCTGTCTCGAACACATATGCCCGAGTTTTCTCTTAAGGCAGCCACAGACATGCCAACTTGCTTAGCGTTTTATAGAATGTGCTTCTTTTTCTTCAATGTGACTCATACTTATGGATCATCTTGATCCTGTACAGAGCATTCTCTGAATTTTCTAGAGTTGAACCCCAACCCTAATTCCTCTGCCAAGGGAGGACTATTGTCCTGTTTCAGATAAAGCACTACAGCTGAGAGAGAGTGACTTCCCTGAGGCCATAGAGTGAATTCATAGCAAAGGCAAGATTCAGACTACCAATTTTTAAGCCGCTATAATGGCTAAATTCCTATTTTCCTAATTGTATTTCCCCAGAATTTTTTGATTTTTGTCTGAGGACCACTTGTCATCTGAATATTCAAGTGTACTCTTTAAAATGTAGACACCTAGAAATATAAAGCATGAGTGTATTTGAAAGCACAATTGTAGTATGTACGGTATATACTTATCTGAATCAAGGATTGGCTGCAGCTACCTATCAAATAGAGAGGTCCTTTTGTCATCACAATTCTAGGTGCGCTTTTGTGAGCAAAAAATATAATATTGGAATTCCAATTAATTCCCTTAGGCTAAAATTCCACATACACTGTCCTAGGAGTAAATCCTTTGGATATAATGGGGCTTACCCTTGAATAAGTACATGTAGGACATGAACTTTAACACAAGCATGTACATAGATGGAAAGTACCATTGACCCAGGGAGATTTATTTATAGGTTTCTTTCTCTAGCGTTACTAAACTCTTTGATATTTTCCTTGCAGCTTACTCCAATTATTTCAGATCCAGAGTACTTACTGGACCAACACATTCTGATCAGCATTAAGTCATCTGACAGTGATGAATCTTATGGTAAGCTTTTACCTCTGACATTTATACATGAGAGTTTCTGCATACGTATTGTCCAAGATGTTTAGTGTGTAGAAAGGAATGACACATAAATTTAAATGCTAGAGTGCTTCATTGATCTTTCTCCTGCTACAGAAACTTTGCAGTGGTGAAAGTACAGTGATATCTCGACTTATAAATGTTTCGAGTTACAAATGGCTCCATTCGCAAAATATTGCTTCAACTTGCGAATGGAGCCTCAACTTACGAACAAAAAAATTTTCCTGCCCTTTTTTTGACCTAAGTTCATCACAGGTCAAAAGAAGAAAAAATAAAAAAATTCTCCCCTTAATGGTAGAGTACAGATTAACTGGCTTTGTGTTAGTACCTATGGGAACTAATGCTTGTACTTATGAACAGCACCTCGACATGCGAACGAAAAACAGCCTGAATGGATTAAATGGTTTTCAATGCATTCCTATGGGAAATCTTGCCTCGACTTACAAACTTTTTGATGTACAAATGCCGTTCCAATACGGATTAAATTTGTAAGTCGAGGTACCACTGTAAATAAAATGTAGCATCATATACTTTTGAGGGCTACGATACTATGTACAAAGTGTACCTGTCTCTGTGAATCTGTCAACCCCAAACTAACATATAGTTAATGGTAATACATTATGCAGGAATTAGCGTCTCTTGTCAGTGACTGTATCACTCACACTGACCTGTATATATATGAAAGGTCAGAATGGATGGCCATCTAGATATTGTTGGACTTCAGTTCTCATGTTCCCTTTCCATAGTTGTGTCCTAGAGTGGATGGGAGTTGCATTGAACATCTGGAAGGCCACATGTTTCTCTCCTGCTGTACATGCTTACTCAGCTCAATGCCACACATCTGATTTGTTAGAGAATGTAAACATTCATTTTTCACTATTGATGTTTGAAACATGGTCAGTTGCTATACTACAATTCTGATGGAGCATAGACCACAGGGAAGTTCTCATGTGCATGTTCTTGTGCACTGAAATAAATATCACACCAAAGACCCATCTGCTCTGTTGGCTAGCTAGAGTTGGCTGAGTGACATTCACAACCATGGAATCTGACATGGACATCCAGATGACATGGACCTTGAGTTGTCTTTCAGGGCACTTTATGGCCTCATTCTATATAGTCAGTTTTGCTGAGTACACATAGAGAAGTACGTATAGGATTGCAACCATATACTGCAATCCTGTGCTTATTCATTCAGAGGCTAAATAATACTAGTGTATTCAGTGGTACTTAATCCAAAGTAAGTATGCAGGATTGTACCCTCTGCCTCATTCATTGAGAGAGATATCTCAATGAATTGCCACTTGCCATTTTGTCAAAATCCGTTCCCTCGTTGCTCTTCTAGGTGAAGGCTGCATTGCCCTTCGAAGTGGAGCAGCAGAATCTCAAGTCCCTATCCAGACTGTACTAACACACCATGGGGAAAAGACGGGAATCTTTCAAGGTGAATTCAAATTACAAACATCCCAAGGAAAACAAAGAGAAAAACTATATGGTAAGTCTATGGCTTCAACACAATCTAAACCAGGATGAATCTGGAGATCAAGCTAGACATTATAGCTAATAAGTTATCAGAAGCAGAAATTCCATCAGTTCTGAAAATAATCTGATTATTGTAAGTGATACATAATTTCTCTGATTAGTTTGCAAATTAACTTGCTTTCTTTTGTGATTGGTCATAAAGAAGGAAACTGGGGCTTTGTTTTCAAGTCTGATTGCTTTGGCATGATGTCCAGAGAAATTCATATTGCTGAAACAAGCTTTTAGCATCTAATGATATGATATGCATATTAACTAGTTTGACCTTAATGATACTTCCAGAAGAACAGATGCCACTGCAAAAAAATATTTTTGCAGCTATTGCTTTTCTTCCTTAACAGATTTTATTGTTGTATATATTTTTTAAAAAAAGTTGGAAGAACTGGTGGGAAAATAGCATCAGCACCCTGAAAAAATAGCATCTAACATCCTGAAAAAAAATAGTTTTAAGGCAGGGTCATTGCATATGAATAGCTGATCGGAAACTCCCTAATACGATGCATCTGAAAGAGCTAGTTTGGTTTTTCTACCAACTATAACTAGGCAGAAATAGTTATGTAGGACAGTATTTTCTCAGTATGCATGTGGTTTGGCACTCTCCCCTTAAGGTCACTGTGTTGTCATGGGCATGTTCTTATAGTTGTGAAAATAGTTCGGAGTTTAATTTCAGCAGCACTCCTCAGCACACACATAGAAATGGCCAGAAAAAAGCTGGCCTCTTTTGACAGGAATTTAGCCCCCTGAGAAGTTTCTATTCAAGATTTAAACATCTTTGAAATGTGGCAGGGTTCAAAGTTGTGACACCATCCCTCTATAGCTGTGTCACGGAGGCTGAAAAAAGCTGGCCTTTTCGTTCATGCTCCCAGATCCCTTCTGTGTTTATCTGTAGTTCAAAGAAAGAGACCTATCCACCTGTGTTATTGCCTTCTCAAGCACCAGAGACATGGGCAAAGTCAGCGCAGGAAAGAAAAAAAACAAGAACCTGTAGCCGTCTCTCCTCTAAGCCAGAAAAAGGAAAGACTGGATGATGCGCAACCATGTGTCTTTGCACTACTGTATCACTATGTGATTAGTGAGACATGGTAAGAGGGAGAGAAGAGGCTGATAGACTGCTAGTAAAGGAAATGCATATTTCAGGGCAGCTATCCTAATATACTGTATTTTTTGCACCATAAGACTCACTTTTTTCCCACAAAACAGGGGGGTGGAAAGTCTGTGCATCTTATGGAGCGAAGAAAACAGATTATATTTTCCTGTTTTCTTCTCCTAAAAAATCGGTGCGTCTTATGGAAAGGTGCGTCTTATAGAGCGAAAAATACGGTATATGTGATGGTGGCTACTTTTGCTTCCCAGGCAAAGTCAGTGCAGAAAAAGGAAAGACTGGATGATGTGTGACCATGTGTCTTTGCACTACTGTATCACTATGTGATTAGTGAGACATGGTAAGAGGGAGAGAAGAGGCTGATAGACTGCTAGTAAAGGAAATGCATATTTCAGGGCAGCTATCCTAATATACTGTATTTTTTGCACCATAAGACTCACTTTTTTCCCACAAAACAGGGGGGTGGAAAGTCTGTGCATCTTATGGAGCGAAGAAAACAGATTATATTTTCCTGTTTTCTTCTCCTAAAAAATCGGTGCGTCTTATGGAAAGGTGCGTCTTATAGAGCGAAAAATACGGTATATGTGATGGTGGCTACTTTTGCTTCCCAGAGTCTATTGTTAACCATGGGGTAAATGTTCCAAATGCCAAGCATTCACTTCCCCAGGGTTTTTCTTTCCTAAATCAGGCTGTGCCATCATAATGTATCAAACAGTGATGTAGAATCAATTAATAGAATCAAAATACACCCAACCTCTGTTTTTTTTTTTAAGAAATCTTACTAGCTGTGCATAATTCCACCTACCTCTTATTCAGTGTAATGGTATGGAGATGGTGCATGGAAGCCTGTTGCATGGAATAGAAGTTGGGAAGAATGTGTAAAACCAGGGTAAATCAAGGAAGGGTGGAGGAGAATAGATGTGAGGGGTTCTCATTAGGCCAAATGAGGTTTGTAGGAAAGGGAAAAGAGGGCTTAGAGCAGGCTTGTCCAACCTGCGGCCCGAGGGCCGCATGCGGCCCAGGTCGGCTCATAATGCGGCCCAGTGCAATTTTTTATTTTAAAAGAAATTCCAAAGTTTCAAGTTACACTGCCGGCACTTGCTGCCGGAATGCGGCGGGGGCATGCCAGGGTTTTTCTTTCCTAAATCAGGCTGTGCCATCATAATGTATCAAACAGTGATGTAGAATCAATTAATAGAATCAAAATACACCCAACCTCTGTTTTTTTTTTTAAGAAATCTTACTAGCTGTGCATAATTCCACCTACCTCTTATTCAGTGTAATGGTATGGAGATGGTGCATGGAAGCCTGTTGCATGGAATAGAAGTTGGGAAGAATGTGTAAAACCAGGGTAAATCAAGGAAGGGTGGAGGAGAATAGATGTGAGGGGTTCTCATTAGGCCAAATGAGGTTTGTAGGAAAGGGAAAAGAGGGCTTAGAGCAGGCTTGTCCAACCTGCGGCCCGAGGGCCGCATGCGGCCCAGGTCGGCTCATAATGCGGCCCAGTGCAATTTTTTATTTTAAAAGAAATTCCAAAGTTTCAAGTTACACTGCCGGCACTTGCTGCCGGAATGCGGCTGGGGCATGTCACAACGGTAGGGGGGGAGAGAGGGAAGGAACGGGAGGGGAGAGGGGGGCTGCGTGACTGCATTGCACCATCCCCATCAATAGGTGGACCCTCTCCCAGTCCCATAAAGCCGCCAGAGTTGAAGCTGTCAGCCTCTGCTGTCTGAGATCGCAGCTGCTGGTAAGCGTGCTTGGAGCGGGGCTACGGAGGACGGCTAGGGCTGCCCTCCTGTGGCCCAAACCAAATGTATGTGCGGCCCAAACCAAATTTTCATCTTCTAATGTGGCCCAGGGAAGGTGAAAGGTTGGACACCCTTGGCTTAGAGGAAGGCTGGTGAATGAGAAAAACTATGGGGAAAGGAGAAACTCTTAACACTTGGTAGAGATACGTACCTGGGAAGAATTTAGAGGAGGGAAACCTGACCTAAACAGCAGGAAAGTGGAATTTAGAGCGTTAGACAGAGAAGGAATATAAGAATGAGAATAGAAAGACAAAGCTTGAGGCATATTGACCTGCCTATGTTATGCACATGTTATGTTCAGGAAGGCACCTAGACGCATGTCAAACTGGAATATGACTTTCTCTGGGACTGTTACTTTTATGCTGCTACTTTTTTCCTACTGGGTTCCATAGGATTTCTTCATCTGTTAATTATTTGTTTCTACTAGAACTGCTAGGTCTACTATCCTGTCCTACTTGCTATGCTCTGTAGCACCTTCTGAGTCCCTATGCTGAAGAAAGAGGCCCACCTGTCTAAATTTCTTTAACAGAATTTTGAATTCTTCTGAAGGCATTTACCAGCAGCCTCTGTCATGATTTTTCTTCTACATAATCTTTCCATCTCAGGTTTATGGTGACTGCTCTCTCATAGTCAGCTGTTGGGACGGATGCTACAGGCTGGCCTTTTATGGTTCATCCCAAGCCACATTGCTAGCAATTGCACTGTGTTCTAAAGTTGGAATAATTTTATACCTAATGTTTCCCCTACTTGGAAATAATCCCCCAAATAAGAAAGAATATCTGTCAGAATATAGGAAGAGTAGCATAGGTTTCTGATCTGTTTAACACTTGTGTATAAAGCCTTTTGCCATATTTATTTATTTATTTACTTATTTACTTATTTACTTATTTATTTATTTATTTAATTTATACCCCGCCTATCTGGTCGTTACGACCACTCTAGGCGGCTTACAACATAAATATAAAACAAATGTATATATAATAGAGAAAAAAATAGTTTACACAGTTAAGAGAATTTCTACAAGATGGCAAAAAGGAAAAATCATATTAAAAAAGGAGGGGAAAGGAATTAGGAATTAACTGGAGGGGGGAAGGCCTGCCTAAACATCCATGTTTTCAATTGTTTTTTAAAAATGCCCAGCGAGGGAGCCGCGTGAATCTCCGGAGGTAAGTTGTTCCAGAGGCGAGGAGCCACCGCCAAGAAGGCCCAGTTTCTTGTTTTTTCCTTCCGGGCCTCCCTCGGGTGTCAGGCTCCTCAGCCTCACCTCCTGACTTGCTCAAGTGACACAGGTAGAACTGGGTGGGAGTAAGCGTTCCGCCAAGTATCGAGGCCCTAAACCGTTCAGGGCTTTAAACGTAAGCATCAGAACTTTGAAGTTGATGCGGAACCGAATGGGCAGCCAATGCAATGCGGCCAGAATAGGAGAAATGTGATGGTGTTTTCTCGCTCCGCTAAGGAGTCTGGCCGCCGCATTCTGCACCACCTGGAGTTTCCGCGTCAGCCTCAAAGGTAGCCCCATGTAGAGCGCATTACAATGGTCTAATCTCGAGATTACGAGCACATGAACCAAGGAAGTGAGCGGCCCCACATCAAGATAGGGTCGCAGCCGGGCTATCCACCAAAGATGGAAGAAGGCGGTGCGGACCACCGATGCCACCTGAGTCTCCATAGTGAGCGCCGGGTCCAGATGGATCCCCAGGCTGCGAACCCCACTCTTTCCGGCAAGGGTCACCCCCCCAAACGAGAGGGAATCACCCAACCCACTAACAGTGGGGGCACCCACCCTCATAGATATGTATCTATGGCAGGGGAAAGGCATCCTGTCCTTTTAATAGAATGATACAGAGAAAGAATGAGAATGAGCAGGCAATCAGGGTTTGGAGAAAATCATCTATATTGCAGTGAAGACTATTGAAGAAAGATTGCAGTAACACTGTATATATGCATTGTTAAGGTTTCTGTCACCCAAATATATAGCCTTCATATGACAGTTTGAAACACAGAGGAAGTATGCAGAGGCAGGCATCCCTTCTCCAGCTTTTAAACAAATGAACAGAGAAAGAGGGCCCTCTACTTGACTTTCAGTAAAACAGATTTCAGAATTCTACTGCTTATATTTTTCATTTGTGCTATTATTAAACTGAGAACCAACTCTCTGCTGCCGCCTCCTCCTCCACTTGCTCTAATTGATGATATTAAAACTGGGGAAGTTGGTGCTGCATTCATCCATTAGCTTTTAAGGGATGTATAATCTCAACATTATAAAGGTGTAATGCACTCATTTCTTTTTGGTCTCTTTCCATCAGACTTTGTGAAAACTGAGCGAGATGAAACTGCTGTGCAGAAACCTATGAGAGGCATGAGCTGTACAGATTATGCCAAAGAGTGGGAGCAAGTAAATAGGTAGGTTGCAGGCAACTAATTGTAGGCATGCAGAAGTGACTGACATGTTGAAGAGTGGCATGCCTTGTGGCAGATCTGGATCTGCTGGAGGTAGTAGGCAATGCAAAAGAAACCATTTATCTGGCAAAACTGCTTCTCTTCAGCTATTCTTAGCAGACGAAGAACTGTTTTGAGAATGTTCTCTGACTATAGTACGTAAAAATGTAAAAAAAAAACTGCTTAAAGAACAGAGTATTGTTCTTCTAATATGCTTGTGGGGGGCTGGGGGCAGGAAATGAACACAAATGTCACTAAATCTGTTTTTCCCTGAAAGGGGCATTTCTTCCAACAGGAAATCTCACTTGGTGGCCAAGGAAGCAGCAGCCATTGCTCGCCACCGAGGAACATTGTCTTTAGATGAGCCGTGCAAAGACGATCTTCTGCGGTAACTTCATGGCTTCATGTTACAGAAACCCCAATTAAACATTACTTTAACTGTGTGTCTTGCTGCCACATCGGGAAATTTATTTTTTAAAACATTCTAAGCACAGGGACAAGATTTCCAATGAAACTATCATGTGCAGAAGGGAATGTTGATTCTTCCCTCTCCATCTGCCATCTTAGGGAAAACCTCCCTTCCTTATGCTGCAGTTAGCAAAAGAATAGATCTCCCTTAGGTGAACATTTCACCAGAGCTTTCGTAGTCTAATTTTCATTACACATACACACATCCATGAGAAGGTTTCTGTCAGGGTTTTTCCTTGCGGAATTACGTTTTCAGCGGTTTCAGCAGAGTATATGGCGGTCTAGGCAGTCCAGCAATAAACACACGCAGTCCAACAGCATTTCGTGCAGCAAAAGTGTATTTACCAGCAGCAGCATGGCAGGCATATGTGATCTCCAACCAAGTGAAGATAATACTGACTGTACAAGTCTACATATATACATGTACATAACCAATCACAATTCAGATTACATCACTCCATTACTTCATCTTGGGTTACATCATCTTGAGTTGCATCATCTTCTGCTGAGTCACTCTGCCTCATTCCCAGCACACCTGACAGACATGGTTGCTCAGTACAGCACTTGATTCTGGTCAGGCCTATAATTTATACTTGACAGTTTCTAACTTTGAGGCAAACATCATTGTGCGCATCTGGGTTTAAAGATTGGAAGATGCCTGGCTTGTGCAGAAGGGTTTGAGGGAAGTTGACCTCTAACATAGGGCAGGACGGAACTCACTTGTGAATGCATGATAGGATCCGGCTTGCGATCCTATCATGCATTCCCCATGATTTAAATCATGGCTTTAGATTCATGATACAACTCTTACACTTCTCTGGGATCTTGGGAAATGTAATCATGTCACACTTTGCACAACAAATGAAATCTAAAATGGTAGGTGTTGCACGTTTGTGTCTTGAAACAATGGACATGTAAAGAGTACTTTCTTTTGTAGATTAAACATATGTATCTCCAATATCTCCAATGTATCTCAGAATCCTGTCCTAAAGTCTACGTCACACTAGTGTTGCCATACTTGGGCAACATAACTTACCCCTTTCCATGTTATAGCCCTCAACACTTCCTATAAACTGGCTCTGGGGTTCAAAGCATCCAAACCTGCTTGTCAAGCTGCACAGGGGCTACTATCAAGAAGCATGATGAGCCCTAACCCAATTCTTTTAATGAATTCTTTATCTATCAGAAGGCCTACTGGCCCCTGCAGGGTATGAGTGTGTGCACATTCCCAGATAATCTAGAAAAAGTAGGAAGGGATTTTGTGGGAGAGAGAATATCTCTGTGTGTGTGTGTGTGTGTACACATATACATGTACATACACACACACACACACACATTCCCCCTGGCACAAAATCCCTTCCTATAAAAAATAGAAAAATACGAAGGGATTTTGTGGGAGAGGGAATATATATTTACAGTTCCCCTCCCACAAAATCCCTTCCTACTTTGCCACCCAGAGTAGACCTTTGGTCTAGATAGGCAGGGTAGAAATCTAATAAAATAAAATAAATATAAATTAAGCATGAAGCCTTGGCCTTCTGATCTTCTTGCCTCATGTTGTGATACAAGAATCAGAGTTAGCTGTTTGCCTGTCCTTAACCAAAGTGATACAGAGGAGTTGAGATATTCCACTATGAATCATTTGAAATAGGAGGATACAATAGCTTATTAATCAAAAGCCTATTCCATTTTTACTTTTAAATAGAATTCATTTAACCCAGAGAACAAGGAAACTCAACATTAGTTGAATATAACATTACGTCTGTCCCTCTCTTCTCTTTTGGGTGCCATACCCATTGTGACCAACAGATCACAGGGTTATATGTAAAGATTTTTATCATCTACATTTTTTGGAAATCAAATATGCAAAAAGCTGTCCTTCTCCAAGGCTACATGGCTGTGCAAGCAATGTTTCTCAAACAGATCTCCTAGGGGGTTTGCAGAAATATAACTAATGATAATGTTATCTGTAATTATAAACCATTAGAAATAAATCAAACTACTGCAACATATTTGTCACATATAATATATGCATAAATATAGATGTAAACCTAATTTTGAAACTAGTCTTGATTACAGGCTATTTGAAGCAACAATGTTGGAACAATCTCAGGGATGTTTTGAGATCTTTTGAAAAGCGCTTCTGTACCTTCTTCATTGCAAGTAGCAAAAGAAGTAGTATTATATGAAAAACCTTTAGAATCATCTCCCAAAAGGAAAATCAAAATATTCTGTACTAAACTGTCTGTCATCACTGACAGATAACAGGATGAAAAATTCTCTCTGGGACCACTACACAATGGGCAAAATAGAAGATACTGTACTCGTACAAAGAATAGAAGACACTTCCCATTTGTCCTCTTACATTTCATATACGTCAAAGGAATTCTCAAGCGTCTGTCATTCAGAACTGCTGATATCACGATCTGAAAACACAATTTTGTAAGCACTTTTCTGTGGAAAAGGCAGATCTGGCAAATAGCTAGGTGTAGTATAAATTCTCAGAAACAAAGGTTACCAGCTAGAATATTACTTCGTATTGAACAAATATCAAAATGTCCTATGCCTGTTCACCCAGTCATGTAACTTTACTGTGTCAACCTTTCTGATGTTATGTCTTCTTTTTTCCTGCTCCCTTCATCTTTCCCCAGCATTTTATTTTCCATTTTAGCTTCTAGTGAGACTTCAGGTTCGATTTGTAGAATTAAATTATTGATGTTTCTGATCGGTGACATCTTTAAAACTCTCTTCCAGCACCACATTTCAAACGAGTAAAAAAAACAAAAACCCAATTCTATCAGCTTTTTTCATCATCCAGATTTCACATGCCTGCAATAACTCTAGCAATACATAATTTTGATCTTGATGTCCAATGTGACATCCCTGCCTTCAAGGATTTTTATAATTCCTTCATAGCTGTTCTTACAAATTTCAGTATTTTTCTGACTTCTTGATTGAAGTCTTCCTTTTGATAGATATTTGAACCAAGGTATAGAAAAACATTAATAATTTCAATTTCTTCATTGCCAACATTAAAGACATTCTTCTGTAATTATTAGTCTTGTCTTCTTAGTGTTCATCTCTAATCCTGTTTTTTCATTGCTATTTTCTGTTAGTAATAGGGTTTTATTGCATATCTTAAATTATTTATATTTCCTTTCTCTAGTTTTCACTGCTTTCACCTGAATCAGTGCACCCTCTAGTGTTCAAAAATATTTTTAATTTTTTTAAACAAACAAACAAAAAAAACACCACTTGAGTTCAGAGTAAAATACAGGTATTACCTCCCCTCTACATTCACTAGTGAACAATATGGTAGTTAAACACAAGGTGGAAGGATAATTATATAAGCATCCACTCACACTTAACCTGTCTCCCCGTTGTGTGCTCATTCTCACAATTGTTGTAATAGTATTGATCACACAATTCATCACGGGATGAGAGCCTGTCAGAGTGGGGAAGCTACTTACATGGTTCTTCCACTTCATGTTTAAGCAATAACATATGGTTAGGATATCTGCATGCATAGTTTGTTGTTACATGTTGTCAAATTGTCTCCAACTTATGGCAATATGAAAGAGCAATCTCCAAAACATCCTGTCCTCAACAGCCCTGTTCAGCTCTTGTAAACGCAAGGCTGTGGCTTCCTTTAGGGAGTCAATCCATCTTGTATCTGGCCTTCCTCTTTTCCTGCTGCTTTCAACCTTTCCCAGCATTTCTATCTTTTCCAGAGAATCTTTTGTTCTCATGATGTGTCCCAAGTAGGTCAGCCTCAGTTTCATCATTTTTGCCTCCAGGGATAGTTCAGGCATGATTTCATCTAGGACCCACTTGTTCATCTTTCTGGCACCCCAGAGTATCTGCAAAGCTCTCCTCAAGCAGATCCATTTTTTCCTGTCAGCTTTTACTGTCCAGCTTTTACACATGTACTGTACATAGTAATTGGAATACAATAGTGAGGATGATTTTGGGCTTTGTCTCCGGTGACACATCCTTACACTCGATTATCTTCCTTTATTCCTTCATTGCTTGGCTTCTTCTGATTTCTTGACTCCAGTCTCTTATTTGGGCTGATGATTGAGCCAAGGTATACAACATTTTAAACAATTTCACTTTCTTCATTGTCAACATTGAAGTTATTTAGTTCTTCTGTAGCCATGATTTTTGTCTTCTTAATGTTGCAGTTCTGCTTTGGCACTAAAAGTTAAAGTGCATAGTTTATGCACCTAAAGAACTTATATGTTTTTAATTGAAGTGTTTTATTATGATCAATTCATTAACAGCTATGAATGCCAGTTTACCAAATAACTGAGTTAAAAGAATGCTGAATGTCTTAAAAGATGAAAAATCATAATGTTTATATATATTATGTATGTTTACTAAAATTAAGAGCAGAAATTATGAAACATTCACATCACTGAAGGAGTAATTTCTTACAATAATTAATGAATCATTGAATACTTAAACTTGTATCCTACTTAAATTACTTCTTTCTTGCTTTTCTTTTAGCAGAATTATCAATTGTCAAAAGAGATTTGGCAGTCCTTAGCCAGTTTTAGTTTATTGAAGGCATGTTCACATGATGGAAGTGATATTTGGATGGAACAGCAATTTTCACAGTGATATCTATTTTTGGAAATAGATTTTCAGACTTTTGACAGACATTTGTTATGGCAGGGATGCATAATTTGACCCACCAAACAGGATTATAAGGAGATTTATTTTCAGGGAAACACGGTAGATTTGCCCTGTATTATCGTATGCTGTGGCCCACTACTATATTGACAAAACCAGACATATGTAATTTGGACTGACATTAATTACAAAGGTAATATATGAATGGGTATTTTGCAAGAAATGAAAGAGAGGGCTGCTTTGTGGAATACATACTGTAATTGCTATTAACAAAGAACTACAATACTTTAAAAATCCATTAAAATCATATAGTGGTGAAGTGAATAATGTTTAAGAATATACTATATTCATAATCCTTACCAAAGGTCAGAATATATAATATTCAGTAATGTTATGATAGGATATAACCACTTACAATATTGAAGGATGAAAAATAGGCTCTAGAAGATCTTTTTTTTTTTTTTTTCATTTGTGGTTGATCCTTTTTGGGTTTTCCACTGCAGTCTCCAAAATATCTAACGCCAGTTGTGGCACTTTTTTTTAAGCGAGGGTTCCCATCATTTTTCTGAAAATAAATACTTCTTAATTAAAGAACACAACTAGTGCCCTATTGTATACATGTATGACTGGTAGTTTTGATCTTCTTGTCCCTGTATCCTTGTCTGATCTCACGTGACATGTATAGAGAATAATCTGGTGCTATGGTAACTAGCCACATAAGCATTAAAAATGTGGGTTTTTTTGTTTTTTGTTTTTGTTATTGTGGGGTTTGAGGGTTTTAAATTTTAATCTTGTAAACTGCCCAAAGTAGTGCTTGCATTAATGGGATGGTATATAACATACATACATACATACATACATACATACATACATACATACATACATACATACATACATACATACATACATACATACATACATACATACATACATACATACATAATTTTTCCAGAGCTTAGAAAAATTACTCTTTGGGATTACATATACTGTACTAGAATTCTGGCTGGGCAATTGGGGAGTTGTAGTCCAGACAGATAATCCCTTGCTTCCACAATGCCTCATAATATTCTCAACCAAACATGTCTCCTTAATCAAAGTCCTGCTGTCAACTTTGCTCTTCTGAAAGAGCAAAGACAGAACTCATCCCACATTTAAAGCCAATGCTGTCCTGCCACTAGATACTTACAAAAGTAACAGGTTGCTTTGCTTGTGTAACTCTCATTTCTATTAATACTGTACATGTCTTTTTTTCCATAACTGTTTTGGTCTTAGCAGTTCAATGGCCACAGACTTCAGCAATCTCAGCTACTCACGGTTGGCTGCTGCCACCCAGCAACTGTCTGGAACAAATCAGCTGAAGCAAATCCCTTCACCAGACCAAATCCCTGCCTCCTGGAACTATGACAACACTCCTCTAATGGGAGTAGAATCTCCTAACACACCTTCAAATCTGTCACCTGGCTCCCCAAGAGCACCAACGCAGACTATAACTAACCGCAAGGAGCAGCTGTGAGTTTGGTGTTTGTTTTTTTAGCACCCCACCCCAGCCCGAGATTTCAAGTTTCTCCCATTTCACTTAAACTATAAAAAAAAAAATTCTTCTTCTAAAGATTGAGTGAGGACTAGGTGGTAGGGTTACTGCAGTCACCTTAAATTACAGCAGAGGCGAGCAATTTATGGCTGTCCAGATACTGCTTGACTACGCCTTCAATTAGCCACAGCCATGGGCTAAACTGATGGCTAAACTCAACTGCAGAGGATTACAGCAATTAAGGGTGCAGTTGCTCACACTACAACTGCAGATACTATCTTACTGTGATTTTTGAAGAATATGGGTAGGCTTTTTATCACGCTAAACAACATAGTGGCTGGCTGGCTGATTTAGGTACCTATTTGGTTGTGGAGCCAGAGGCTGGGAGTAGGGTAGGCTTTTTGTCACTCTAAACAACGTAGTGGCTGGCTGGATGATTTAGGTATTTGGCTGTGGAGCCAGAGGCTGGGAGTTCCATTCCCCCACTGCGCCTCCAGACAGAAGAGCCATCCTATGGGGCCTTGGGCATGCTGCACAGTGCCAGGGCACTCTCAGAAGGAGGGAATGGAAATCCACTTCTGTGTATTCTCTACCTAGAAGACCTTAAAAAGGTCACCATAAGACAGAATTGACTTGATGGCACACAATTATTATTTCTTAAACAACATAGTTGGTGCATTTAATTTTAAAAAATATTCCCAATCCAAATAAAAGCACTTCCTTCATTTCCAGTATTGTAACACTGGGTGATTGGTTTCAACACTACAGCTACTGTGTAAAATTTAGCATCTCTGTTACCTTCCTTCTACATCCAACATTTTGTTCTCATTTATTTTTATAATTGCTACTTCAATATCTCATGTAGGCCAGCCTAAGATATTGTACTGCAAGAATGAGAGACAGGAAGTTATGTCCCTGTCCCTCCCAAATCAAGCTGCATTATAACTAAGTTCAATTGAATTATTTTTGTACCTGAGGCAGATAATTAAATGTGTCTCTCTGTGGCAGTGAAAATATTAAACATTGAAAATAAGAATAAGAATAAGAATAAGAATAATTTGCTTCCCTTTCACAATACCAAAATTAGCTGCCTGAGGTGACTGCCTCAGTCTGCCTAATAGTCTACTCTAAACTACAGTCTTAGTTTTTGTATCTTTAACCACTGCAGATATGGAGAAGTGAGGAAAAGCATGATAGAACCACTGCTCCAAGAAGACATGTACACAAAACTAGAAATGATTGACAACCCACTGTATGACTTCACAAAATCCAAAGACAAGATACCATCTAGGAGGGAGCAGGAACTCTTCAAGATGGCACGGAAAGAGCTCCCACCTATGCCTGAGCAGAGCTTCCCTATCGCCAAGTTACAGGAGGGAGACAGCAGCAAATCTTCGTTAAAGCAACAGTCCTCCCCACCCTTCCTCGGCCCCTCATCTAGATTTCGTTCTTATACCTGTTCCAACCAATCTGAGGAAAAGACTCATAACAGGCAGAAATCCTGTGCCAACTTAGATCCCCAAGTGCCATTATTCAAAAAGCCTGTCAAATTCTCGAGATCTGAAGCTGGGCACAGCAAACCTCCTGTTCCATCAAAAAGCCAAGTAGTGCTTGACATGCAGAGCACCAAGGGACGAGATTATCGGGAGAGTTCAGAACTTCCACACCACAGAAAGCACCAGAGTGAAGACGGGAGTGTCAGTAGGACAACTGTGCCGGTAGGTTGAAAACCCTAGTCTGGCCTTGGTCAGTCTAGCTCAGTATTGTCTACACATTGTGCTTTTCAGAGTTTCAGACCTGAATCATCTGAAATCTCACAGGTGGAGACCCTGGATAATCATCTATGACCTGCATGAAAAACACGTTTTACTTTTGCCACAGCTTTTTGATAGCAAGAGGTTGCAAACTAGCGTAATACAGTATGATGTTAGAGAAATATCTCCATTGCTTCAAATGTACCTTGAAAATATGCTTAGACAGTCATAACCAAGTACTCTACATATATTTACACCTCATACAAGTTCTGATAAATACACATCTGTAAAGAAACTCTGGCAATAGTGTGTCTTAACACAGATTGGACTAATTAAATCTCATTTACAGAAATATTCAACAGGGAAATATTATTGGGCATCCAATAAACAAAAGTACACTATGACAGTATTGTAGAAGAGCAGAAATTACTGTATAGCAGATATGTATCGAAAGGCTGGGCCGGTTCTAAAATCTAGATTGCTACTGTATATACTGGGTAAAACTTCAAGCATTTGGAGCTAAACAATTGGGAACAGAAATTCTTACAATGATCTGAGGGAAGAAGAAAGAGGATCTTTCCTCAAGCCATGCATACAAAGAAAAGGAGAAGAAACATATGAAAGAGCTATTATTGTATTGGGAAAGAACCCTCTGCAAATAGATTTGGGGATGACAAAAAATTCTTGTCTAAAGTCTTATTAAACTGTCTACAAGAGAAGCACAGTTGTAATTGTGGCTGGAGCAATACAAAGAAACTAGGCCAGACTTCTCTTATCTTGGGTTCAATTTGTGGTCTCCATGAGGTTGGAGTTCACAAGAAGACATCTGCAATGTTCTTGGAATCCCATGGAGCCCTGTATCAGGGTATCTAGCTGAAGAGGATTAAAATCCAGCCAACCAGAAGAGAGTTGGTTGGGAAGGAAACCTTGGCCAATCAAGAGTTGGCCAGACAAGCAAATCAGCCTGACTGGTGGACCAAAGTGCAATAGTTTTCACTGCATAATAGGAGAAGTTCTCCAACTGCTCTCTGTCCTGTCTTCTCTCAGACTTCACCCATGCATCTGTCCCTTTAGGTAATCTATCCTATTGGTTGTTGTGGGTTTTTCGGGCTCTTTGGCTGTGTTCTGAAGGTCGTTCTTCCTAATGTGTCGCCAGTCTCTGTGGCCGGCATCTTCAGTGGACAGCACTCTGAGACTGGTGAAACGTTAGGAAGAACAACCTTCAGAACACGGCCAAAGAGCCCAAAAAAACCACAGCAACCATTAGATCCTGCCCGTGAAAGCCTTCGCGAATACAAATCTATCATATTGTTTTCAAAGGGAATCTGAGTGATGTTCATGTGCTATGGTATATATCAGTGTACTTTTCTTTCTTTCACTCGGCAATTTGGGGAGTTGTAGTTATGGACCTTTTTTCTGCTACATTCCCAAACAGATTCCCTGAGAAAACAAAATGTACATTTTTCTTAGTCCTAATTACTATTCAGAATAATTATTCCTATTCAGTGGCCACAAGTTTGCTACTTAATTACTGCACTCTGCCAGTACAAATACCATTTATTTTTATATGGCTTAAGATGTACATTTTGCAATTCTGAGCAATGTTACCTTTATATTAATTATTCCATAAACAAGCTGAAGATTTTATTTTTGTCTTTACAGTGAATAGAAATACCACGGATTAGATCCTTGGAAGAGTCTTGAAGGGAATCAACATGGACATTTCCCAGGTTTCATGTTAATATCCTTGTGTCTGGTGCAGAGAGCTATGAATTTGTTAATGTTATAAAAAAAGAGGGAATCTCCATATATGAATATGTATCTTCTGAAATATAATGCAAGACTAATTTAAACCAGCATTCAGCGAGACATCAGAGATCAAAAGCTGTACAGATTAAAAAAGCATAAATCATTTAATGCTTTTTTTTTTTGGAAGATGCACAAGTTGTAATTGTTGTCCTTTAACAGGAACACAGCAAGAACATGAAAGAAAATGTATCCTTTGGGAACAAGGTCTATTAGTAATGGATTTTCTGCATTTATGAAAATGTGTTCTTTGAGGCCAAGGTCTATGCTACCAGGTTTTCCTTTCCAATTAGTTTTATATTTTCCTAACTGATAACACAATGGATTCATGCACTCAAGGCATTTGTTTTCCAATAAGTGAACTTATGTGCCAGTACTTTTTCCACTGACTGCATGAAACAAGCTATTCTGGTGTCAACTATGAGAACATGAGACAAATAACCTTACTTTTGGGGTGGGGTAGGTGTACACCTTGAAACATCAGTGGCTAATTTTTGTTTTGCATTGTACAGCTTTGTACTGGTCTCATCTCTACCCATAAAGATAGTTATGTCGAGTTGTGGAATTTATGGATATGTCTTCTAGATTGATATTTCCATTCAGCATTTCAGCACCTTTTCTGAAGCTCATCACCAGCACTATGCCAACCAACAGCTCATCTTCCCTTTCTTTCTTCTACCACCTTTCTTCTATATGAGGTACAATACTGAGAAGCAGCAATAGGAACACATCCTCTTTCCATGTATTTTGTGATCCCCACCACATTCATAACTCTGTGTATTAGAATCCTTCTTTTACCACTAGATTTGTGCTAAGGTACTAAGTGGGTAGCAGTAATAGTAATGTTATGGCATACAACCCAAAACTGCTGATCAACCACTATAGCACAAAACCATTTTTAAAGGAAGGTCTGTAATGCAATGAAATATGTAGACAGATCTGGAGGGCAGTGTGACATAGTGAAAGGGCAAGTGGACAGTTACTAAAACAGGAGGAAGAGCGTGAAGAGGGCAGAGTTAAGGTGAAGAACAATGGCAAATAGGAGGATTCACTAAGGGATAGGGCAAGTTCTCAGAAACCAGTTGCAAAATATGAGTGGACTGGAGGTATCAGTATATCCCAGTATGTCCAGAAAATCTAATAAAAATGATCCTCCCATAACTGGATGTAAATATTAGGATGTTCCATTTTAAAATGCTAAACATAATGAGAAGCAGCATAAAACCAGGAATAACTTGGAAAACTACCGATGTGTGGATGAGCCCTGTGGGACTGAGGGGAGACACTCAAGTACAAAACATTTCCTAAGTGCAAAGGCAAGGAAGGTTAGATTAGAGTAACCACTAGATATTTGTCACTCTAGCTGGTTAAATGTCAATTTATTTGTAAAGCAGAACGTCGTATAGGATGTTTTAGTGGCATTTTTCTTAGATTCATGCTGACTTCATTGTACATGAGATCAGATATGTTAAGCTTTGCTTTGTTTTAGGTGACTTTGTCACTTTTATCCACAACTTTGTGATAAAACTGCAGTTTATAATGTCATCTTCTCTGTTCTTCCATGTTTGTTATTAAAATTTTAAAAAAGCATTAATTCTTTATAAAACACAAAAACAAATGTTTATGAATGGTCTATTTCCTGTGCACTAGTTCAGTGCAGACTTGGATGCTTGTTGCTCAGCTCATTCTATCTCTTTATTGTTTTTCTGTTCTCCAAACCAGCATGAGGAAAGACATAAATGTTTGTACCTAAATAAGATCCTTTATTGACCCACAAGACATCCTGTAGCTATTACCTCCTACTTTGTCAGCAAATATGAAACTGAAGTTACAGAACAGAATGCATCATGAATCTTACAAGAAGAACCACCAGTTATAGTTTCTTACAGTATTCAGAGCAGATAAAAACATGTACTACTTCATACAGTATACAAAACTGTGGATTTTGCTATGACCAGATGTGACAATTGCAGTTCACTTGAATAGTCTTAAAAGGGGATGGGTCAAATTTATAATGTGTATCAATGATTTATTAATTATTTTATTTAAAATATTTTTACCCCACCTTGCTCCTTAAAAAAAGGCATGAGAGAGCCACTGTAGTGGATAGAGAGCTAAACTACACTTCAGAGGACATGGGTTCAAACAGGACAATGGTAAGCCCACTCCTTCAATATCTCTCACATACTCTGAAAACACTGTGAAGATCACTGCAAATCAGAAGTGGCTTGTGGCACAGAACACATGCATTAGTGGCTACACATGTTCACTTTAATTTACTTCCTGTATCAGAGATAGAATGTTTCTGCATACAGTTGCTGGGAAAATATAAGTGGAAGTACTAGTTGTGGACTTCCCATAAGTACCTAATTGATCACTATAGGAGCAGAATGCTGGACTCAACAGGTTCTCGGTCTGCTCCACAAATTTTTCTTATATTTGGACCAAGGGCTCTCTATGCCACTAATTGTTGCTTTTAAAAAAAATGGATTAGCCTGAAAAAGGTAATAGTCTAGTGACTAATTAGCAGTCCTTCAGAGTATTACTCTTTCATCTGAAATAAAGGTTATCGACAGTCATCGTTCATATTGCATCCTTTCTTCAACCAAATATTAGAGTCCTTTATGAACTGGATCCCAACTTAGGCAACATAAAGGCTGATTTTGGTCCAAAGTAGTCATCTCTGACTGACAGCAAACTCCATTCCAAGGATCAAATTCCACTGCTGCTTTTGCCACCAGTTCATTTATCCCATTCATTTCCCCACTCAATTACTGAGAGTGCTCAGAAGCAGCTTGTTTCCCACAGACACATTTCTCAACTTTAGCTCAGTTCTTAAAATAGCTGTGTTCTTTTCAGTGTGCTAAATTTCCATGGAGATCCAGCTGTCAGGAATGCTTGATGGTTTTAAGCTACGATATAGAACGCACTCTATGTTTATAGAATGCAGCAGCATTCTATAAACATGGTTGCTAACATACATACAGAGCAGAGATCCCTTGTTCAGCCCTCTCAGCCATTTCCAAATAATCCTACACAACACAAGCACGAGATTTGTTTGTCAGCACTCCAAAAACAGAAACGGTTGCCATATGCAAGAGTCCTGTCCCCAACTTTGTCAGTGATATGTGTGATTACAATTACATCTATTCCATGATCTCTGGGCAGATATGAAACTGAAGAGTTACAGAACAGAATGTACCTATCTAAGGTCCCAACCAGAGTGCTGCTACCCAGGGTTAGTATCCTGTTTGCTGTGAACATGCTGGGGAACAGTTCTGCATGTGGTTTCTCATTCCCCTCTATTTGTATAAGGGTGATTGCCACAAGTGACCACCAATTTGCATATCTACAAACTGGAGATTCACACAGTAGAATCCTCTGTGCACGGAGCTATTACTTTCCACAAAGAAGAAAAAGATACTAGCCCAGTTTCTTAGTATTATATGTCCTGCATATGCCATGAATACAGGCATGGGGGTGGGGGAAAATCAGATAGCTTCTCCTTAGTTTGGCATTCACTCTAGACCAGCGATTCTCAACCTTTGGGAATCCAGGTGTTCTTGGACTGCAAGTCCCAGAAGCCTTCACTACCAATTGTGCTGGCCAGGGTTTCTGGGAGTTGCAGTCCAAGGCTGCGATCTAGTGTTCTAGTCTAGACAGCCTGCTACATGGATTGAAAAGGCTGCAATTATCATTGTAAGTTTTGTAAACCAAAAGGGAACTAGCAGACTGAAGCATTCTGTACAACTGGACTGTGTGGATCAAAAAATGTTGAAACAGCATTTCTTACTCCCTTTCTAGGATAATGGATGCCTGGTGGGTGGATTGTGTTGTGTAGGTTCAGCATTTCTGGAAACTCATTATGGTCCTGCCCACTCAAGATACATCACAATTTCCTGCTCTGAATTTTATTTGCAAAGAGATACCTGCTCCCACTCAGTTTTTCAGCCTTTCCATGTCAATGCTCCCCTGAACCAGGTATCACACTTGACTGTGCAGTTGTAGAGCATGGGGGCGGACTGTCAATGCAGAAGGTTTAGATCAAGGTAGAAGTGGCTTCATTATGCAGTAACAGTTCACATTATAGGTAAAAGAAAAATAGAAATATAAAGTAAAAATAGATAAAAACGTGGTGGCACATTAAAGACTAACTTTTACATTTTTAATGTGAGTTTTCATGGATGAGTCCAATTAATCAGACATAAGATGATGTGGACTTGTCCATGACAGCTCACATTAAAAAATATAAAAATTAATCTTTAAGGTGCCACCACATTTTTGTCTTTTTTTACTTTTTATTTCTATGTTGCTTTTATCTATAACACTTGATTCTTGTTCATGTCCAGGGATGGGGATGGAATAGGACTTCAGTTGGTACTTTTTTCCCCCCTCTTCCCCCTTTTTGTCTCTCTGGTCTAGCGTGAAGTATCCAAAGGACCCGAAGAATGAAGCATCATACCAAGCCTGTTTGCAGGTTCCTCCCCAATGGTTAAAGAATGTCTACTACCTAGCGACTGAAGATGATACTGCTAGTTTCAGTCAGATTTTCGTTAACTAAAATTAAGTAATCTGCTTTAAAACAAAATAACTGTACGATATATACACTGAGGGTCTCCCTAGTATTCATACCAAATTGCTGTTGTTTAGGTTTCACATTCTTGGACATTTAGCACAAACACATATGGACATGTATTTTTATTATAATACAGGCTACATCGTACTGAATAAATAATACATATTAGATCCAACTTAGAGAGGGAAAGTCTAACTAAATTGCAGATAACCTTTGCTAAATGAGACCTACTTCTGAATAAATATTATAAAGAAATCTTAGACACTAGGTCATGCGTGAATACAGTGTTATATTAAGAACCATGTTGGATCTACACTTTCCAGTTCACCAGAGAAATTAATAACTATGTAACACTACAGAAGTTTTCAGGGTTTTTTTTTCTAAGTCTTAAAAATTTGAAATGCTTCCATATGAGCCACCTTTATAATTGCTGGTGGACTGATTTTCTAAATTATGTTTAACATTCTACATTTACCCCAAAGCTGTAAAATATACAGGTATAGGAAGGGAGATACCTGGCTTGGAAAATTGCACAGCATAACCTGTAACAACTTTGAAAGTTGAATCCAATTATTCCTTTCCCCAAAAAAATCCTAGTTAAACTATCTTCTTGGTTTTAAAGGCAGTCATAAAGAACCCTAATTTCTGAGGGAAGGGGAATTCAACTCATGGCATAAGACACCCACCCATCTTTTCAATTTTTAGTGCTGTTACCTCTTTGATGTACAGCTTCCAGAACCTCTCAGACAGTATGGCCAGTAGTATGGAAAACAAGTAACATTCAGAAAAATAGAAGGAACTGATATAGTTAGATGGCATAACAGAAAACTTAAGAGGGAACATGTGTGCCATCAAGTTGATTCCAACTTATGGATACCCTTTCCAGGGTTGTCTAGGTATAAAGTACTGTACTCATAAGTGGTTTACTATTCTCTTCTTCTGGGGGTGCTCTGGGGCCGTGCAGCTTGCCCAAACCTGTACAGACTGGCTCTCCTCCCAGAAGCACACTGAGGAATTGAAGACCTAATCTCTGTCTCCACAGCCAGGTACCCAACTCAATGAGCTAACCAGAAAACACTATTAACAAGACTCCTCAAATACTCCTCGGAAGGCTATCACAGAGAAGAGAACAAAGTCCATCCATTCTCCCCACCCCAACCCCCACTATCCCTGAGGGCTGCAGCAGATATCCTGGGTTTAAAGCACAAGGTAATAAGATTCTGGCTGAATGTTGTAAGAAAAGACCATGTGAGTCCTTTGGCAATGGAATCAATTACCTAAATCTACAACTATGAAAGGCACTGAATTTATCCAAATAGAGTGGGAGATCTATCAGCCTCATGAAGAAACTTGCACAGGTATAAAGAGTTAGTAGGCTCCCTCTCAGTGGAGGTCTTGAATCAGGCATTAATGTGATTTAAATCAAATCCATGCTAGAACATGGTACGGAAAATGCAGCTATTCAACAATTCCCAGGGAAGATATCGTCGCTATATGTAGAGTTCTCTTGCTGCCCTTTCCCTGCATTGCCTTCAACACTGTCTGCATCCTCAAACCTGGAGATGCTAATATTGGTGGTGCCATTTGATCCCAATGACTGATTAGGCTGGGCTGGAGAATTTGTGGCCCTCAAAGTTTGCTGGACTACAGTATCCATCATCCTTCTCTTTAAGGAGAAAGGCAGGGTAATTAAATAAAATAACCAAATAAATGCCTATATTGTAATAGTCAAGATTCAAAGTAGTCAGTAAGGGGGGGGGGACATGCTCTCCACCTCCATTTTAGACTGCATGTTGCCAAAAGATCAAAGTGGTTGAATTTCCTGCAGAGCAGTACATGCTTTATGGTACACTTGCATCAGCCATGTATTGTACTAAACACCCATTAAACTGTCATGTATTGTGGCTCTGCTGTGCAAGATGGTGATCCAGCTTTTGTGGAGCTCTCAGAGAGCTATTTATAAACTCTGAGTCATGCTCCTTGAAATGGTGTTCTTTCCCCACCTATTAAAAATTAGAAATATCATTAATTCCTACAAAAGCTACT